TTATACATTTTAGTATGATGCTTCATAGTTACTACAAAGGTACTTGAAGCAGGTTGTTCTCAGCTGCTGCATTAGCTGAGCCCGGGTGATGATTCCGCACCAGTTAGATGACAATATTCCTTTACTCGTGCATTATTTGGATGTTTCACTCTCTATTTCCACCACCTGTATTTCTGGGCCAGTGTGTACATGCTGGAGCAGACTCGCTATCTAGAAGCAGCTCAAAGAGCATTTTCAGCCCAGGTGGAGCTGCGCCTGTTTAAAGTAAACAGACAGATCCGGTCCTCTTAATAAACTCTGGCGTGAACAATAACCTGTTTCAGTCCGAACCCTGAGCAGTTTTTGCTGGATCAAGACGAGGAGGTTATATGTGAATACTGTTGCAATCCTCCTCAGCATCTCAGCTCACATAAGACAGAATGGTATCTCATTCTGTCTTATATGATACAGTAACTTCACCTACTGTGAATTTGCCTTTCAAGATGCTATTTGTGTCCTTGTATAGTAGATTTTGATCAGTTGCATGATTGTTATTATTATATCAACAGTATTTAGCACATTGACTATTCTACCACATTGAAGTGCTCTGGTGTGCTATCCTGTGTGGAGGGTGCTATATAAATGCATGTTGTTGTTGTATGACATCCATAAATAGGTAAGCAGCCAAATATAACAATTAGTTTAAATATTGTAAAAATTGTTATTAGTTTACCTGATTTTTTGGGGGGACCAGGTGTTAACTTGCAGAACTTAATATCTCTTCAGTACATTACAATTGTATAATATCATCTTTAACATAATCAATTTTCATTTGTTTCCATTACTTTTCAGCTGTGATCTGATGTCACATGAAGTTCAGGCTCAGTAAATCAACTTTGACACTAAACCAATAATTTTCCAGCAATCAAGACTAGATTTGGCAGATGTCTTGTAAATCATGATTTCCCTGGAGCAGAACATTGTTTGATAGCGTAAAGGTCAAAATGCAAATTTACTTAAAAATATCATCATGCTAAATATCTAAACAAAATTAGAAGTAAGCCTATTCTTGTAAAACGTTGAGGTGGATTTTCTTAATTAGGAAAACCAGAAGCCCATGACGCCAACTTATGGGAACATTGCTCCAAATGGGGCTCCCTCGAGTTGGATAATGTGTGTGACATGTAAGTAATGTAAGTAATCCATTTCTTAAGAGATCTGCTCAATAATACTGCAAAATTGACCCAGTTGGAATTTGGTGAATCTTCACTGTCCCTGGCTTCTTAATAGATTTTGCAAAGGCAAGAATTTGTCTGCAGGATTGGAGAACAATTCCTTTTTTTAGAAAACAGTATCAATTAATTATGTATTAAGATATAGAAAATGCACCATTGGATGCAAGGGTTGTGGAACATATTTATTCAGGATTAACATGACACACTTTTATGCAATAAGCAACCCAAACCGAGTAAGAGATAAGTGTTGATGGACTACACTTTATTTCCAATTCCTGTGTAGGTGGTGAAGTATGACAAGACTGAATTGATTATTCTATTTTCTACCATGGATCCCCAAATTATTAATAAAATCACTTCAACAGATTTTCAAACGCTCTTGCATTTCTACCCTGGAGTCCCAAGGCTCACCTCGCAAGTGAGAGACCTGGGTTCGATTCCCAGCAGGACAAAACCTTGGGCAAGATTCCTTACTCCACACATCTGATAATAATTTTTCAAGAAAAAAACTATGATAAATTGGTTACTTTAATCCATGGCTGTTTGTGGGACACTGCTGTGCACAATTGGCTGCCACATTTCGCCCACAAATGTACAGTATCATTGAGATAATTGAGAAAATGACTCAATATGGTGCATCACAAATGTTCATTGCCTTTTCTCCCTGAAACAAGTTAAGGTATGCATTCATGGGTAAAAAAATTAAATCAACAACAACTTGAATTTGTATCGTGCCCTTCACACTGAGTAGAATCTCGGAATGCTTAAACTAATATCAGTACACAAAGATTTGCTTCTGAAAAATTAGCTTGTTTAATGGATGCCATCAGTACATCATAGAGCAGTTGACTAACATAATTGTAACAAAAATAATTTATTGATAATAAATAATAATTTACACAAATACAGAATATAGAGTCCTTAAACTTCTTCTCCTTAAACTCCTTTGTATTAGGGTTGGGACTAAACACTCCCATCCAATTTCAGAAGGATGATTTTTAACGCAGCCTCACTGAAGTTCGGAGTCCTGCAGCTCAGTGGTTAGAGCACTCGCTTTGCAAGCGAGAGACCTGAGTTCAATTCCAGGCAGAGGGCGAAACCTTGGGCAAGTTTCCTTACTCCACACAGAGCCTAATAATAATCCCTCCAAAACCAAAAATAATAATAAATTGGTCATTTTCAATCCATGACTGTTTGTGGGACATTGCTGTGCGCAATTGGCTGCCGCGTTCGCCCACAAATATACAGTCAATTCACTTTACAGTGTGTTCTGTGAAGTGCTTTGGGACGTCCTCCCGACGTGAAAAGCGCTATATCAAATGCAAGGAATATTATTATTATTAATAGCAGCATTTTTTTAAATCTACTTGTGGGAACAATGATTCAATACTGCTTCATCAGCTACTGTCTTACAGTTAAGTTCCTTTAAATAACTGCAGAAAAACTGCTTCTGGATTCAATCTGGGACCTTCTTGATCTGTATGAGTTTATTCGACAGTGGGTGGTGCACTTTGTTTAAAAGGAGCTACTTTAGCATTAGATTAAATTGGATTCTTTTTTTATATTTGGCTCGCACTCTCATTCACAGCAAGCAATACAAATAAATAATAATAATCCTTGCATTTGATATCATGCCTTTTATGTCAGGGGGACACATTAAAATGCTTCACAGTATAGTGCAATGACTGTGTAATTGTAGGCGAGTACGGCAGTCAATTTGCACGCAACAATGTCCTATAGATAGCCATGATGCATTTGACTCATGTAGTTCATTTCTTCCACTACTACGCAAAGCCTACCCTTTCGTGGACTCCATCCCACGCTCTCAAACCTGTGGGAAAAGTTTTGAAATAGATAATCCCTGATCCATAAAAGTAATCAAGCAAACACTCATGATATTTTTTCCATCTCCTTATCTTCACTGACCTCCTTCCTGACTTCCTTCCCTTACTGACAACATGGAGTTGTTCAATTCCAGGCAGAGGGCGAAACCTTGGGCAAGTTTCCTTACTCCACACAGAGCCTAATAATAATCCCTCCAAAAAACCAAAAACAATAATTAAATTGGTCATTTTCAATCTACGACTGTTTGTGGGACATTGCTGTGCGCAATTGGCTGCCGCGTTCACCCACAAATATACAGTCAATTCACTTTACAGTGTGTTCTGTGAAGCGCTTTGGGACGTCCTCCTGACGTGAAAAGCGCTATATCAAATGCAAGGATTATTATTATTATTATAACATAAACCCCTAACTGCCTAGAAAAGTTGTGGCTGATAAGACTTTTATATTAACATGTTTTAAAACAATCTTAAATCTCACAAATCTAAAAAAATAACAGGTTTTAATCTGAAATCAAGTGAACTCTGAGTCAATTTGGATGGAAACATGGATCGAAGCAAGGGAATCAAAACTAATTATTGTTAATTGCTTACAAGTAGAATATAAACGTCAAAATAAATATCGAAAGCATGTGGGAATGGGATGATTTCAATTGAACAGCCTCCAATTAAAGGCGGCACAAAGTGTGAAGTACCCAAAAGAGGATGGTAAACTAATTGGATTGCTGTTTGCTGCAACGTACGAACGTACACGTGAGCCAGGGAAAAGACCACATTTCATTCAGCTTGGAAATGTATTCCATTCGTGTTTGTGCAGCATCAAAACCACAATACAGTACCACTAGATTTAATATTGTATCAAAAAGACAATCAGAGTATAATAAGAACAGAAGAATACATGAGGGAGAACAACAACAACAACAAAAAACATGTGTAAAGCGCCTTTCACGTCGGGAGGACGTCCCAAGCCGCTGGAAAGACGGAGTTTCGGACCCGAGTTGGGGGTCGGGGAGAGTGGAGGGCATTGGGCGGAAGAAAGGTGACTGAACGCACCGTCGAAGAGGGGGGTCTTGAGATGGGTCTTGAAGGAGGCGAGGGAGGGGGCGAGGCGGAGTGACTGCGGGGGGTGGAGAAGAGAAGAGTGAAGGTCATCGGAGGGGGATAAGGAGAAGGGATTCGGATTTGGTGGAAAACCGGGTCAACTATAAACGTCGGCGCCAACAATTTCACGGCAGATAAGGATCCGTCGCCGTCTTCGGTGCCACATCTTCCGCAACACGCATGGGACGGAGCCGTAATAAAAAAAACATAACAATGACCCTCGCGTGCGATGTAGCGCCTCATCACGTCTCCGAGACCTCTCCGAGAAGTTAACTTTGAGTAACCAACGCTGAGGGAAGTCACAGTAAAGCGGACATCGTCATTCTCCACTCCTCCGCCACACGGAATGATAATTCATCATAAGAGAACACACGGAGGGGTGTGGGGGGCGGTGTCGGGGGGGGGTAACAGGACTTTGTGAACACCCCGTGCAATACATTCGGTCACTTCAGCCCACGACGGTGCGCCATCGGCCGCCGCGTCTTCGCCCGCAAACCACGCAGTCACTACGCTTTACGGTGTATCCCGCGAAGCGCTTTGAGACGTCTCAGAGCCGCGAGAAGGCGCTGGGTCAAAGGCCAGGATTATTATTATTATTATTATTATTATTATTATTATTATTATCATTATTGCTGTACAACATAAACAACCCGCCCAATTGGGCGTGAAATCCGCCTCCATTGGGCGTGAAAACCGCCCCAATCTGGTGACGTGGCTGCGGGACGTCTTCCCTTCCCTTCCCCTCCTCCCGCCCCGGAACCTTTGTCAGCGGCGCCCGGGACCAGCCGGAGCCCTGAGCAGCGGCACCCGCGGCCCCTGACATCACTTCCTGTTTCCATGGTTGCGGAGTCGGGGTCGGTCGCTGTCCGGGGCTGAGGCTCGAGCTCGGACCGCAAACACCATGTCGTCGTTCGTCGTCAACATCAAACTGTCCGCCAGGACCCTGACCGGAGCTCTGAGCGGCCAGAACCGGGGGGCCGTGGACTGGTGAGTGACCCGGGGCCCGGGGCTGCTGACAGGGCCGGGCATCATCCCCCCCCCCCCCACACCCCACACACCCCTCACACACTCCCCCGCCCCCCCCCCACACACACACCCCACACACCCCACACACCCCTCACACACTCCCCCGCCCCCCCACACACACTCCCCTCACACACTCCCCCCTCCCTCACTCCCCCCCACCCCCATCCCTCACACACACCCCCCCCACCCCCTCACACACTCCCCCCCACCCCACACACACACCCTCACACACTCCCCCCCCCACCCCCACACACACACACACCCCACACACCCTCACACACTCCCCCGCCCCCCCCACACACACACACACCCCACACACCCCTCACACACTCCCCCGCCCCCCCACACACACTCCCCTCACACACTCCCCCCCCCACCCCCTCACACACTCCCTTCACACACTCCCCCCCACCCCCCCACACACACCCCTCACACACTCCCCCCACACCCCCTCACACACTCCCCTCACACACTCGCCCCCCCACCCCCTCACACACTCCCCCTCCCTCACACCCCCCCTCCCCCTCACACACTCCCCCCCACCCCACACACACACCCCTCACACACTCCCCCCTCCCCCATCCCCTCACACACTCCCCTCACACACTCCCCCCCCATCCCCTCACACACTCCCCCCCCACCGACCCCCTCATACACTCCCCCCCCCCCATCCCCTCACACACTCCCCCCCCCACCCCCATCCCCTCACACACTCCCCCCACCCCACACACACACCCCTCACACACTCCCCCCCCCCCACACACCCTCACACACCCCCCCCCCACACACACCCCTCACACACTCCCCCCTCCCCCCCCCCCCTCACACACTCCCCCCCACCCCCACACACACCCCTCACACACTCCCCCCTCCCTCACCCCCCCCTCCCCCTCACACACTCCCCCCCACCCCACACACACCCCTCACACACTCCCCCCCTCCCTCACCCCCCCCTCCCCCTCACACACTCCCCCCCACCCCACACACACACCCCTCACACACTCCCCCCCCCACCCCCATCCCTCACACACTCCCCCCACCCCACACACACACCCCTCACACACTCCCCCCTCCCTCACCCCCCCCTCCCCCTCACACACTCCCCCCACCCCACACACACCCCTCACACACTCTCCCCCACCCCCATCCCCTCACACACTCCCCCCACCCCACACACACACCCTCACACACTCCCCCCACCCCACACACACACCCCTCACACACTCCCCCCCCACCCCATCCCTCACACACTCCCCCCCACCCCACACACACACCCCTCACACACTCCCCCCCCCCCCCCACACACACCCCTCACACACACCCCTCACACACTCCCCCCCCCCCACACACACCCCACACACACACCCCTCACACACTTCCCCCCCCCCCCCACATCCACCCCCTCACACACTCCCCCCCCCACCCCCTCACACACTCCCCCCCCACCCCCTCACACACTCCCCCCCCACCCCCTCACACACTCCCCCCCCACCCCCTCATACACTCCCCCCCCCCACCCCCTCACACACTCCCCCCCCACCCCTCACACACTCCCCCCCCACCCCTTCACACACTCCCCCCCCACCCCCTCATACACCCCCCACACCCCCTCACACACTCCCCCCCACCCCTCACACACTCCCCCCCCACCCCCTCACACACCCCCCCCCCACCCTCACACACTCCCCTCCCCCTCACACACTCCCCTCCCCCCATACACTCCCCACCCCTCACACACTCCCCTCCCCCTCACACACTCCCCACCCCCTCACACACTCCCCACCCCCTCACACACTCCCCACCTCCTCACACACTCCCCACCCCCACATACACACACCCCCACATACACACACACCCTCATACACACACCCCCTCATACACACACCCCTCACACACTCCCCCGCCTCACTCCCCCCCCCCCATATCCCCCCTCACCCCCCCCCCCCCCACACACTCCCCCCACTCCCTTACACACTGGTTTTAGGTGGTGAAATTCCAGCAGTGTTAAAGGCACAGTGGGGTCCTCAAAACCCGCCTGTTGCTAACTTACACATAATATTTGCGAGAATAGGTAAGTCGGGTGCGTCCCTCCATGAACCAGGAGTGCAGCTTGAAATGATCTGTTGCTCAGGTCTTTACTGTCTGTTATGCTCGTAGGGTAAAAAATAAGTAGTGATGATGTGAACTGGGGAGTTTTTTTTGTACGAGGTAGAATGGGGGAGTTGATGCAATGGAAGCTTTCTTTATCTTGTCGCATTAAGTGCACATTTTTTAAAAAAAACTATTATTTTCTGGCATAGCAGAATGGCTAGAATTCATTTGGCTTGGATAATCCATTATTGTTGAATTGGTAGAGAGGGAAGCTCACTATCAATCTCTCCGTAAACATCGGGTAACAACGAAGTGTGGCAAACTTGATCATTCTTTTGACCTTGTGCTTTTAGAATCCAGTCATTTGTTTCAACTCAGTGGGTGTATGAGCAACTGCTTTTGAAGAATTACTGAACCTGATTGTGCAAGGGAGCTCAAACTAATATGCAGTTTGCATTGTGCGAGAAACAAAGCACCTGATTAATGGCTATTGTATTGATTGCTTTGAGATAGGTCAGACTAGGGAACTCTTTTAAACTTCAGGTTGCTGTATTGGGAAAATAATAATAATTACCCTTGCATTTGATGGTGCCCTATCATGTCTTCTAGACGCCCCAAAGCGTTTCACGGAATATACTGTAAAGTGAATTCAATGTATATTTTGTGGGTGAAACGTGGCAGCCAATTCCGCACAACAGTGTCCCACAAACAGTTTTGGAATGAAGTGACCAATTTATTATTATTTTTGAAGGAATTATTACCCCCGGAAAAACGATGCGCCAATCGACTAACAATCTGGTTGCTACTGATTGTTAGGTTAACAGAGGTGTGTGGAGTAAGGAGACTTGTCCGACATTTTGCCCTGCCGGGATTCGAACCCAGGTCTTTCGCTTTTGAGGCGAGTTCTCTAACCACTGAGCTACAGGACAAAGTGATTCTTTATGGTGTATATTTGACACTCCATTATACCTCATTTCAACCTTTGGCCCTACACCTAGGTTGAAAACAAATTCTTAATTAATCACAATGTTTTTAAAATAGAATTTTGTTAGCACCACTTCCTTTTCCAAGTGATATTGTCACTGACAGTGTTCCTTTACCGTAAATAATTATAAGATTACAAAGAACTAGCATTTATTGTTTAATACTGACTTATGATGATACCTTCAGGCAATGAGTTGGATAATTTTCTGAGACAGATGGTTGTTAGGGGACTAATTAGCATACAGGTTTGAAGCTGAAGCACTGCTGGGTATGTGATTACATCTCTGCTCATGTTAGTTCATCTCACAAAAATTGTCATGCTCAGTACCTCGGGTTATGTTACAGTATTAATATTTGCTGTTCAAATATACGTATTTATAAACAAATCCAAAATAGGATAAACAGAATTTTGTTAATGAAGAATCTTTGTTTAACAAAAGTGTTTTGCAAATAATAATAATAATCCTTGCATTTAGTATAGGGCCTTATCATGTCATCGAGACGTCTCATAAAGCGTTTCACAGGATCTATTGTAAAATGGCTGACTATTTTGTGGGCGAGCCTGTCAACCAGTTTTGTGCACAGCAATGTCCCAAAAACATCCATGGAATGAGTGGCCAATTTTTATTTTGGAGATTGCTGGCCCGGACACTGGGAGAAATTTCCTTCTCTTTTCAAATAGTGCCATGAGATCTTTAATGTCCACCTGAACAGATAATAATAATAATAATAATAATAATAATCCTTGCATTTGATATAGCGCTTTTCATAGATGGGACCTCAGTTTAACTTCTCATTCCGGGAATGTTGACACAGTTCCTTCAACTCAAGTTCCTAGGTTTGTTATTTGCATTATGTTTGGATTATACAGTTTAGCAAAATACACAATCACATTTCAGTAGTACAGCAATGCAGAACAGGAAACAACATTTATACTTCCTATTCCCAATGATTTTCTCCAGTGTTCAGAATTGCCTTGCAGTATTTTTTTTAAAAATGTTCGTCTTGTGACTGGCCCTTTGATAAAATTAAAAACATTTATATAAAAAAAAACTTTAGAGCAGAGGAGGAATTGATTCAGGCAACTTGTATTTTGATATTCTGCTGAACACATTTTCCTTAAGGTGGTCTTGGCTGTGGGACTCCATACGAATTACTTCAGATTACATCAGATTTCTGCTGCATTTTGTACCTTTTTTCTTGGCAAATTGCTGGAAACAGCGCAATATAAGGAATACAGTTATAACATAATCAAATTAGTGGTTCAGATTGGTAGGAATTCTTCATACTGCGTTCCCTTGTGTCTTTTTTTTGGCAGACTTCTGTTTCAGATGTTAGTGTTTTTGAGCTATTACTCAATGCTCTTTGCAGCTTTTAAAATACAATTATTTTGGAGCTTATAAGACGTGCCAGAGAACAGGAGGACATGAGGTCACATCTGTTCTTTTTGGGCATGTGTTTTTTGTTTCCTGATTTTGCTCTTGCATTCAGAAGAGGAAGTAAGAAATTTCTTGGACATTTCGAGCAACTGATCTTAGTAGTGGTGAAAATGGACCATCTTCACTTTTGGCCATGCAGTGTCATTATCAAGCATTTGCCTCAGTATTAAAACCCTCACCCTGTGCTTTAACCCAACCTTAGAAGAGGTCCCTAACTGCACGAGTCATGACATTTTCAATTTCCTGTACCAATTGTAACTTGTGGGCTCTCGGAACGAGATTGCCAATTTAGAGAAAGTTTTGTACTGTGGATTCCTGCCAACTAGAAACTGGGGAGAGACTTGTCAGACTCATTTTATGTTAGGAACCTTGCAACCTACAGGGAGAGAAATGGTACAGATTTAAGAGTTATACTTGAAAAATATTGATTTTAGCCAGTTTCCCTTTTAGCGAGTTCTCCCTCCCTCCCTCCCCCCTCACATACACACACCAATTCATTACATCGTGAAACACTTCTCAATCTGTATATTTGTGGGAGTAAGTATTCTTTTGCAATTTTAATGTATTCAGTTACTTCAAAGACTGTGCTTGTCTATATTTATGCACTGCTTTGTAGCCATCAGTTATATCAATTAGCTTTGGGACCATGCGAGCTGAGCTCATTTGTGCGGGACTGGATGAGCCAAGCATCAATATTAGTATTCTATTGAGAATCTAGTGATACAACAATTTGGTTGTTTGATAAGCCCTGATAGCCCTAAATGTGATCGGAGAAGTCCAGATTCGATGTAGAACAGTCATTTTTGATATTGGATTTGAAAAGTAAATATTAACTTATGCATCATGAGATTGTCGGAATATTTATTGTGGTATAATTGGGACAAGATGTTTGGTGTAATTTCTAGCGGTCAAAGTGTACTGTCTTATACCTTGCTCGTGTCATGGAGAGATTGAAATTTAAACTTGAAACAGTGGTAAAGATTAGTATATGTAGTTTAAATGTGTTGTTGCATACCCCTGCAGACATAAATTACTGTTAAGTTATTGTATGGACTTTCATAGGATTTGTAAAAAAGAAAATAAGCGTAAAATAAACCTTACGTTTGATATAGTACCTATAATGTCAAAAGCATTGCATGCTTGCTGTAATGTGAAGTGACTATTGCGTTTGTAAGGGAACAAGGCAAACAATTTGCACACAGCAATGTTTCACAAACATTCAAAATCAACATTTGAGCAATGACATTTTGGTTTGTACAAGCGAATACATTTTGAAGTATATTAATTTCAGTTGCTATGTCATGGGTGCTTTGGTAGTATTATAGCTTATGGTTTGTCATGCACCTAGAATATTTTTGAATCTGTATTGCTCAAAATCTTAACCATTTCCATGTTCAAATGATCTTGCTTTAATACTTCAAGTGAATATGCCTGCTGCACAATTTGTAGTAGATATTTTTTGCTTCAGTAAGTGCTGTGAGAAGCTACTTTCCCTCTTACAAAAACCTTCATAGCCTTCCAGCACATCATGTTTGAAGGCTTTCTTATGCCACTGTCAGTCTGTCATTCTGATTGAAATCAGCTTCTTGAGGAAAGTTGTTTTGTACTTAGCTGTAGATGATCCAGGATTTGTTATACTTTTATAAAGTTGGCTACTGCTTATTATCGGACAGATTTGTTTAGCTGCAGCCGAAGTATCAAACATTTTGTTGCGTGAATTAATCGGCATTTCGAGGAAATGGCCTGGTATCTACTATGTTAAACAAGCTCAGTATGTTTGAATTCTAATGGGGGGGGGGGGGGGGAATGTTCCTGTGCAAAGGAATGGTAACAACTTAGTCGCCCGTTCTCTGGAACTCTTCTGGACACCTTCTCTGCTTTCAAAATGCATTTAAAATCTACATCTTTGTTTGTGCCTTTGGCTATCTACCGCCCACCCACCCCCTGCCCCCGGGTTCTCACTCCATTTCTATAAAGTGCTTTGAGGTGTTTTCGTATGTGAAGGGTGTTAAATAAGCGCAAGTTGTAATTATTGATTGACTAAAGCACAGGCACTACTGTGAAGTCCGAAAGAGAACTAGCGTACAATGAAAACTCACCTTAAGGTCACCTCACTGATGTGGTCAATAGGAAGAGAATCATGGAGTGTATATACCACCACTTTCCATTTCCTAAAGTTCTATTTAATTCTGTGGAGAAAAAGTGGCCTTGTGTATTAGGGGCATTCTCCATAAAATAGATAGAGCAAAGGAAAGATATTGCATCCTGAAGGCTTCTTTTATTTCATAATGATACATTTGACTTAAGCATAATTGTGCTCCTGCAATTTACTTAATTTAAAATGCACTCGTTCCCCCACGTAAATTCATCCACAGTTTTTGACTTTTATACTGTTTAACTTTTTTTTAAGATGCTGAAAACATATTGGTACTCAGAAGATTAACCTTTACATATTTTGCATTCTTTGCTTGAGGCTGTGCAAATCTGTTTCTTTTGAATTTGCATGTTTTAGGTTTCAGTTGTATTATTTTACAGTTATATTTAAAAAAAACATTTAATACCAAACAGAACTAAAAAGACACAAAATGCCTTGAATGTTTACCATGTGTATTTTGCTATAATGTCATATTTACTGCATTTTGTTTCTTTCAGGGGTTGGCAGGGACTATTAGCTGTTGGCTGTCATTCCCTTGTATTGATCATTGATCCTCGCACTTCGCAGACTATCCAAGTGCTGGAACGGCATAAAGCAAATGTTGTCAAGGTAATTATAATTATTTTTTATTTTATGTTTTTCATTGGGAACAGACTTGTTTCTTCCATTCCCCGGTTAAAATGAGACCACTATACAGTATGTGTTGATTGATTTAAAGTGCACCAGTAAACTTATTATTAAATAAATACACTTGTATTTATTCTTGTAGCAGATTTTTCAAGTTGCTGGGAAAAGTTGCTGCTTGGATATAAAAATCCTGCACCTGAAGACAAACCATGAAACAAAATTAAAGGGTACAACAAGTCCTTTAATAATAATAATAATCCTTGCATTTGATATAACGTCTTATCACATCTTCGACACATCTCAAAGTGCTTCACAAAATATATTGTAAAGTGAATTGACTGTATATTGTGTGGGAGAAACACGGAAGCCAATTGCACACAGCAGTGTTCCACAAACAGATGTGGATTGAGTGAAGAAATTATTATTATTTTAACTATAATTACCATCATCAATTCATAAGAAATCTTTGATGTTCTGCAACTGATAGAATAGCAGACTGATGCATATGTACCTACCACTAGCTGAAATGCAGAAAGTCTAATGTATCTGCAGATCGGTGGCTTTACATTTTGAATTTATAGAAGTGGAACTATAAAAGGCCTAGAATAAATCTTATGAGCTTTACTAATTTTGGGAGCACATTCTTTTTATGTTTTTAAAGGGAAGGGAGAAGTAAACAAAAAACACAGCCAATCAGAAAGCTAAACGGAACATGTACAGACAAACAGAAAATTAAACTCCCCGAAGTATACAACTAGGTATATTTACAGAACAGACACAAGGTCTTCTGCTCATTCAAATGGCTTCATTTGCAGTTTTAAGGCTAAAAATAACGTAGCATTGCAGTTTGCTCTGAAAGGTTGTCCACATGATTTTATTTTTTCTTGTAAGGCTTATCAGCAATTGACTTGTTGGCATTGGCCGACAATATCTAGGCAGTTAGGAAACATTACCAATTAAAATTCATTAACTGCTTATCTGATGTAAATTATGCATGACATGGCTGATCATCAACTCAGAAGCACTGTGGTTACCTTGTTGTTCAATGTAAGTAATTAATAGACTTGATTTATTCTGTGGTCTTTGATGATATTTTCTATCCTGAACAATTCCTAAGGAAGAAAAAATTCAGGATTAATGGATTGATGTGGTAAATAAGCAGCAGGTAGTAACAAAATAGTTACTGCTGTTCCCATAGCCCTCCGAGCATATCATTTTTTATTTTGAAAGTTTGCTGAAATGATTGCTGCTCTTGAAGTGCCAGAAAGCTCACACATGGAAAGCGCAATCCAGTGTCTCTTTGAAGACCACTAGTGACTACCAACACCTGAGGCCATAAGCCCTGTAGTTGACATTATTCAATTCAAAATATTAAAAGACCCAAACAGAGTCTGATCATTAAAGACTTGTGCTGCTCTTACAGAGTGTGACATAAAAGACTACAGTACTTTGACGGGAGAAGGAATCAAGATGGCTAGTCCTTGACTTGGACACTTGCATTTGGTGCAATAATGTGACATTTAATCTTTGCTTGAGGGGTTTAGGATTTGGAGAATTGCTTTAGATGTGTATTAAGTGCTTTAATTGACTTAAACACAGATTTTACATAATTGAGTAGTTTAGCCATCCTATCTGTTTTAATTAAAACAATACTATGTGCTTTACTGCCAACTTTATAAGGGTTGGTTTTTCTCTATATATATATCGTTTGGCATTAAGTTGCAAGGAAGTAGTGTGTGAAATTTTTTGTTTTTTATCCATCACAGACTTATGGACTTTGCTGCCAGTCGATGACTTTTTCCACTATCCGTCTCCACTGTCTTATGGCTCTTAATTTAATTTCAATCTCTGTATTAATTGATGCAGGTGAAATGGGCCAGAGAGAACTACCACCACAACATTGGCTCTCCCTATTCCCTGCGCCTGGCAACTGCAGACACCGTAGGAAAGATCATTGTATGGGATGTGGCTGCAGGAGTAGCTCGATGTGAGATTCAGGAGTACACAAAACCCATTCAGGGTAAGCAAACGCGTCTTGATACAAGTGAAATCTGTGTGCATGTCTTGCTGTTGATAATAGTATTCCTTTTGTTTGATATATCGCCTTATCACATCTCATCTCAAAGCGCTTCACAGAATATACTGTAGAGTGAATTGACTGTATATTTTGTGGGTGAACGTGGCTGTCCAAATAAACTGGAAGGAAATGAAATTTTGATGCTAAAATTACTGACCTTGATGGAGTGTGATTGTAATTGCAAATTCACACTCCAGGGTAGTTGCCTTTAATGACCAGCAGAACTTCACAATGGCTTATTCTGATTTTTAAGGTGGTAAAGTCGCAATCAGTCCTTTTTTGAAATTTAACCTGGACAATTTTAGTCTGCGCTGTAAATTTATGGTAGGTAGTAAAATGCATTTTGAAAACGCTGTTAAAATGTTCAGATTTTTCTTTGTGTTGGTAGAGAGCGGTAATGAAAAGAGTTGGGAGGTTGTATTAATAGAAAACTGAAAACAAACACAGAGGGTTCAGCAGTCCGGTACACACACGATGGGTCAAATAATCATCTTGCCTTTTGGGATTTCACTCACAAAATGTTCACAATCACTCCACCTTGCAGAGTATCCTTTGAAGCACTTGGGGACATCCTCCTGACGTGAAAGGCTCTATGTCAAATGCAAGGATTATTCTGTTCATCTGCGCTAAACATTTCTTGCTTACACACTTCATTGAGGATAATGAATCCACTGGATTGACTTGAGTCTTAACAGTTCTCGGGCTCATTTGTAATAAAGTAAACAGGACACTTACTTTGTTTCTTCCTTTCTGCTGCTGTGGTCTCCCCACACCTGAGATGATGGACGTAGGGGAATCTATTTATAATAATCCTTGCATTTGATATAGCGCCTTATCACGCCTTTGAGATGTCTCAAAGCACTTCACAGAATATACTGTAAAGTGAATTGACTGTAAATTTTGTGGGCGAAACGCTGCAACTGTTTGGCGCTAACAGTTGAGCATTCACCCGGTAGTAATGTATATTGATGGCGTTATTCTGGTGAAGTAATCTGGATTATCACCTGATATCCTTGTAGCAGTTCTGTTGCAGTGATTAATCTTACAAGTTCCATGTCTTCCCATTTCAACCACAATCATTGGGTCTTATATCACAAGAAAAGGCCATTTGGCCCATTGTATCTGTGCTTGTGAAAATGTCAGCACCCAGAATGGATGATTATTATGTCCATAGATCTCCAAATACTGGAATGGCCACTGCTGGGGAAAAGAACACAATTGAATTGGAATGAGACCAATTTTTAAAATATATGTTCCAAACATAGCCAATCCATCACTGATTTCATTCGATAATTTCATTTTAGTATTTAGAAATCTTGTAAATCACTTGCATTTTGCTATTGCAGTTGTTGTTGCTGTCTGAACTGTATAAAGCTAATGCCTTGTTGTCACTCCTACCCCCACTCCACTATTATTTTAAACGCAATGATTTTCGCGCAAACTGTTTTCCTAATGGCATGAAAACATTGAGAAATGTGGATGAACGTGTATCTCAATCCATAGTCCTTACATTTGGTAAGTATTAATCATTATTGTGGCTTCTGAAACTCACTCACTAAACATATTTACAGGGAAAATATGCAGATATATTCATGAGCTTTTGAAGCTTTCCCATTACGTATTCATAGAAAATACTTTACAGAGCATCAATCCCCATTCAACCAACCCAGATTAGCCAACTATGGCTCTTTAGCGTGCCAGAGTAGTTATGATGTAACTTAATGATATGAATATTGTCCGTGAACCTTTTTTGTTCAGTAGTTTAAATGCACAAAATACAGTACACTTGAGTTATAAGTAAGCTCGCACTTCAGCGAAGCACCTTATATTGTCACCCAGTATTTTGACGAAGCTGGCAAAACTGGTGATGTTTGAAGTGGCCAGAAATTGTGTGGGATGGATGAGTTTCAGTGAGCTAAGTGCTCTTCTCCCCTTCCTAAATACCTTTCATACCATATACTGTAAGGTGGTGTGACCTTGTGTATGTATGTAAATGACACACAACTAAATTAAGTGTAATTCTAGTGAAAAAGTTATCTTGTTTAAAATGGAACCATTTCTGAGATTCTTGTACAATTTTTAGGATTGTGTTCGTGTATAATAAGGGGTGGATAGACCTTGAAATTTTAAGTGCAAGGATGTTCAGTGACTGGGGTTTCAGCAGGTCAATTAGTGCGTTGCTGTAGTATTACGTCTAGTGCTATATCAAGTTAAATAATAGACTTTTGCTTTAATGTTCAATTAAAAATATTTGGTGTCTTTGAAATTTTATGTTGCTATGATCCTATGATTTATGTTGCTATGGACCAGGATTCTGCATGAAAAGAAGTATAAACGTAAAATAATTCTTAGATCTCTATGACCACAGTCCCATTGGAAACCTGGTTTGCTTTTGTAATCTGCAAATAACCAACTCACCAGTTGCCTCTGCTCTTCAGGCACTGACCTACCTCATATCCCCCAGCGTACTTGCCCCTCATTTGGCGGTCGGGCCTTCAGCCTTTCTGCCCCCACCCTCTGGAACTCTATTCTGGAGTCCCTCCACCTCACACCTTCCCTTGCCTCCATCAAAGTCCATCTCAAGACCTTATAATAATAATAATCCTTGCATTTGATATAGCGCTTTTCACGTCGGGGGGACGTCCCAAAGCGCTTCACAGAACACACTGTAAAGTGAATTGACTGTATATGTGTGGGCGAACGCGCAGCCAATTGCGCACAGCAATGTCCCACAAACAGTCGTGGATCGAAAATGACCAATTTATTATTTTTTTTGTTTTGGAGGGATTATTCCTCTTTGATCACGCCTTCAGTCTTCCCAGCCCTCTTGCCCCAACCCGCCCCACCCCCCCACCCATCTTGAATCCAACCCCCAGCTTGGGTGCAAATTCTTGGGGGTTCTTAATATAGTTCTACCCGTACCAGGAGAATATAGAATAGGAAAGGTGATCTGAAGGATAAGGTTGCAGATCCAATTTATCTTTCACTTTTTCAGTCCACTAGATAATCCTCCGGTGTGATATAGGCAGAATCTGTGGTTGCTTCTAGGTCAGCCATAACAAGCACCAGTTTTCTGTTCTCTCCAGTTTTCAAGAGCCACTGCCTGAGGTCAGGGCACGAGTAGAGAGCTCTCATCTGCTTCTGCCTGGCTGAACAAAATAATTGGTTGAAACCACATCACGTGTTGAAAACATTGAAGGCATTCCCAGTGTATATTGTCACTGGTGTGTATGTTTCTTACCCATATACTCCCTCTTCACATAAGTGTTTTCATTGAGTGAGGGAAGTGGCACACTAAGCTAATTTTAGCAGCCAGTGCCAATGTCAAGCACCGAGGCAGTCAAAGAATGGGCCAATTGAATACTAAAGATCAACTCAACAATACATTTAAATTCCAGTCCAGAAAGAGGATCTCTTCCTCTGCCCCCTACCCCCCCATTGCCTGTCTGCATGAAAGTGTCAAATGTATATCACTTTTGTGCTGTGGGTTTTACTTATGTTTGTCTGTCACCCTTACATTCAGTACTGATGGACTGATCTGAGCAGCTAGTCGAGTGATTTGATCTCAAGTCCTAGAATTGAGGTGACGTTACACTAACTTGCTGTACTAATCACTCCCCAGAGTGATATTGCTGTGCTAATCACACTCCTAGATGAATTTTGTATGTTATGGTGGTCATCATCTGTACTTCTGTTCTCAATCCTAAAGAAAACCTTGTTCATATTTTCTACTTTTCACTGATAGATATGGAATGGCTGTGGAATCAGGATGCCTCACGGGACCTTCTGTTAGCTGTTCATCCACCGAACTACATTGTCCTTTGGAATGCAGATACTGGTACAAAACTGTGGAAGAAAAGCTATGCAGAAAATATTCTCTCATTTTCATTTGATCCCTTTGAACTATCAAATCTAGCGTGTAAGTTACTTTTCCCCTTATCATTAAATTGTATATAACAATTCAATTTACTGATGTGCAATACTCATTATTCTACATATTTCATCCATGTTTTACTCTTAAAAAGAAACATCGGGTGTTTAGAAGTATCTTCATCGTTTGATGTTTTTAATGCATCTTTTGATTATAAGAGTTTTGGATGAAACAAAAAGGCTCTCCAAATCATTTGATCTCATTTTTGATATCAATATTACCGTTCTCCCATTGCAGTTCCTAATTGTTTGAGAAATTAATTCTGTTACAACTTAGACATGTTCAGTTACTAGAATGTGGTAGATTGAACCCGAGTGCACAAGGTCTGGATGATGAAGTGTTGGAAGAATTTTACGCAATATCTGTGTTCAGTGTTGGATAAAGGAACATGACTAGTCGGCACAATGTGATGAGTGTTCTGTCTTGCTGTGCTAGAAAAAGTAAAACATGGATTTACTGTTGTAATTATTACACCAAGGAGGTTGCCCACCAGGAGACACTGAACAGGGAAGAAAAATCAATTATCCAGTTCCCCAGTCATTTTTTGAATTCCTCCTGCTTGCTAGCTGGAGAATATTGTTAGCTGAGGTCTTAAAGCAATTTGTCTTTTCCTTTTGCTGGAGTCTTGTATGGGAATACAAATTATTGGAGAATGGGGGAAAAATATAGTTTTATGAATATTGTGCAACTATTATATAAGCGATGATCAGAAATGTTTTCTTTTGTCTCTATTTTAGTGTTGACCAGTGAGGGGATAGTGTTCGTCTCAGATTTTTCACCTTCCAAAGCTCCTAGCAGCTCAGGAAAGAAGGTTTACATATCCAGTCCTCACTCGAGCCCGGCCCACACAAAACCAGCAGCAACTGGTGCCAAGAAAGCCTTAAATAAAGTCAAAATACTCATCACTAATGAAAAGCCCAAGTAAGTTGCATTTTAAAGATCCTGTGCTATTTTTTTGTGAACATTTTTGCCTGCACTGAAGCGAAATGTTTTCCCACTGTAAATTCTTTTCCAGTTTGAGATGCTACTGGAATCTTTGCACGAGGCTTCCGAGTCAGACTGGATTGTTAGTGGATTTGAACGCTCTCCTCTGGGAACGGAGTTCAAATTTAGGCCAGTCTGAAGTGCTGAAAGGTTTTTGTCTGCAACTTCATATTTGCAATCTTTTTCTCACCTGAATGCAGGTTTGAAAATAAAATTTTTCTGGCACTCTGTTTCAATATTTTATCACACATGCTCCATGTGAAAAAGTGGGTACATTTCCCTCTTGTTTTTTGTTCCCTTTTCTGTTTATTGCTAGGACAAAAACAACAACAACAAATTACGTTTGTATAGTATTCTTCACGTTGAGAGGATGTCCCTAGGCACTGGAAAAAGGGGAAAATGTTTTCAATTTCTTCATTTCTAATTTTATTAAAGACCATATTTACACGTTAAACTTTCTCTCATTCGTAAACCCTCCTATTATTAAGTTCTGTTGTAATTATAAAGGCTGTACTTGTAGCTTTTCAGACTGGGATACAGGTCTGATAATATTTTAGATTGCATCATGGATCATAAATTAAATGGAATTGTGCATTTGCAGAATTTGTATAATCTGCAAAATATTAATATTCTGTCTCTGCCCACTGAACTCCCATCAGCTTTATATGTTTTTATTTAATGCTGCATTTGTGCAGTGTGTTTTGACAACAAACACCAGCAGTGTTAAGTATTGTGTTATTTAGAAAAAAAATTATATAACTGTGGGACATGTAAAGCTGACAGAACTTGATGTGCTTACGCTCGAGTGTGTGGCTGCAGTTGTATTGCATCAGTGAGAGGTTTGAGACCCACAATGGAGCTTCTCACTGTTGTTAAATGTTTAATCTCATAGCAAGCATAAGAAGATACACTGACATTTTTTGGCCTTCTCAGTGCACTTTTGTGGACTGAATTATGCATGTTTAACCTCCTTTCACGTATCCACTTATACATATACATGTTGCCGATTGTGCTGAGGATAGCAGTCACCCGTGGGAAGATTGTGCACTATGTTAGTTCTTTTAACTAACTAAATAAAATGTTCACGTGATAAAGGATTTTTCAAGCTTTTCGTTCTTTGCCAAATTGTTATAGTGCAGATTCTGTGACACTGAACGACTGCCTGCAGTTGTCATATCTGGCTTCCAAGAGGAACCATATGCTGCTTCTATACCCCAGAGAAATCTTGATCCTCGATTTGGAGGTAAACCAAACCGTAGGAATAGTGGCAATTGAACGAACAGGAGTTCCTTTCCTACAGGTAAATATGTGCTTCCTTCTGCTAATACTGGTGCATTCATAAGCCAATTAATCTGTTTACTATAATTATGGAGCTAAGTCTGATTGTTATTTATTCAATTTAGCAGCATAACTTACTGTCATAAGCGCTTAAAAAAAGGGTCCTTTTACTAAATTATAGTATTCCTCTGCATTTTAGTTCTTGTATTTAGAAAATAGATTTTTATGATCAATTAGGGGCTGCTCTTTCAATGGAATGGTATGTTTTCCAAAGATAATAAGTGGCGTCTGGTTCAGCTTTTCAACTATATCTGATATTTGAAGTTCAAATTTGTAGAGTTTGAAAATGTCTATATAAAAAGAAAAGAGGCATTCACTGCACATTGCCATTTGAATCTCGGTTGCTGCCATTACATTTTGATTCTAGCACAACTGCAATGATGATGCCTTTCGTACTTCTGCAAGGGAAGGTGATGAATATTTCGGGTACCAATAAAATTGTTGATTTCCATCAATCTCAGAGGAAAAATCTTAACTGTTGAAATTAGCTTTATTATTAACAATCCATCAAAACAAAGCTTTACTTTGAAATCTGTTCATTGGAGATTGCTACATTTTATTTCATGTTATATATATAAAATCCCGTCACATCCCGAGCTACATTATACTATTAATTTTTCAGTATGGCATCATTCAGAAATAGGTACCAGTGAAGCCTGCGTGAATTTTTTATTTTCTCCCCCCCCCACCCCGCCTTCCTCCGTACTAGGTAATTCCTTGCCGTCAGCGAGATGCTTTGTTTTGTCTTCACGAAAACGGCTGCATAACATTGAGAGTCCGCCGATCGAATTGCAATTTGTTGGCTCTCCCTAGTGAGGAACCAGGTGAGCGTGCAAATTTCATTAAAAGTTTTTTTTAATATATTTATATATTAGATTTTTCTGAAATTATCAGTATTTCTCACTGAATTTTGCTGAAACAATATTTTGTTGTGAGTTTAAAAAAATCTGTTCTTGTAAACTGGGCACAAGACTTTACACAAGGTTTTGTTTTTTGCAATCATGGCTTTATTATTCTTTCTTTCCCCCCTCTCTCTCTCTTGCCAGACAAGCATTTCACTTTTATAGTCCTAATTCGCTCTCGGGATCTTTCATGAGCATAACCAAGATCACAGTATCTTGAGATCTTATAGATATCACAAAATCACACACACAGGGTGACCAAAACGTCATGATATCCTATTGTCTAAAAAAAAATCATAATTTCTTTAAGACTTATTAGACATTGTGATGGTATTACGACTTTTTGGTCACCCTGTATATTCTTTATTTTTGTTTAGCAGCAAATATAATAGTGCAATAGTTAAAACTCAAGAGAAATAGTTAATTCCTACCGGGCACAGTTTAGTTGTATTTTTTTTAAGCTTTTGATTAATATGCCATTTGTCTAATTGTTTTAGATCCGGATCAGCCAGTTCAGGAGCTAACCTATGACCTTCGCTGTCAGTGTGATGCAATCAGAATCACTAAAACAGTGCGTCCTTTTGGTATGGTGTGCTGCCCGGTCAATGAGAATTCCGCAGCTCTGATTGTAAGCGATGGCAGAGTGATGATGTGGGAGCTAACATCTAACCAGCTCTGGCAAAGTACTACCTACAGGTAATGAGGTCTTCGTGGTTGTTGATTCTGTAGGAGAGAATGCAGCAGCTGCAGCTTTTACTTATTGTGTGTTTGGTGAAAGATTATTGCCAACTTTGGCTAATCCCATTCAGATCATAATGGATATAGATGGAGAATACCCTTATGTACAATTTAATCTATTCCTTTCAGATTTCCCACTTTGCTGCTTTCCCGTTACAGTATCGACTTCTTAACTGAGTACAGAATTGTGGCCTGTAGCTTTCTTCCTGGTAACCTGTTCTTGCTATGGATGGGTTTGTGTGAAAATAAATGTTTTCTCGTCTCTTCTAAAATTGCCTTTCACAGTTTGAACCTGTGCCCTCTTGGTCTGCTGCTTTGGCTTATTATTCTAGGTTTAGTTTCTCAATCCCATTTTAGCATCTTGTACACCTCTATAAAAGGTTGGAACCAGAATTGTAAATTAACTGGCGGATTATTCTACAATCACTGTACATAATTTTACACCACTGTGAATAAGATTACTAACTCATGTGGGTAGATTTGTCCTGTGGATTCCGAGCTGGGTTGAATCTGCCTGAACTCCATTGCAAAAGCGGGAGAAGACCTATCAGTCTGGCTGTGACTTGAACCCACCATAACACAGGCAAAGGGATAATACATAAATCCATCTAATCCTCCATCCTCTCTCCACCATTCTTGCACTTTTTTTTAAGAATAGTAGAATGAGTGTTTTAACTTGTTTCGTTTTGTAAATTAGTATGGAATTATATGTTTCATGTGAGCCTTGTGTTAGTTTGCTATGTTTTGGGGCTAATCCAATTGCAGTTCCACGTGGAGAATAATTGATAAACAGGGATCTCTTTGGTGTGCTTTGATATTTTTATTTCCATTTAGACTGTTTACTTGCTGCTTTGTTGTAACAGTCACTCAGGTTCCACTGCCTCCCCTTTGTACCGTCCTGTCGCATTTTGCGGTATTCCTGTGGACATCCATCAAAAAAAGCTGCCAGATCTCTCCTTGGATTCCATGATAGGTAACTAACTCTGCAATGTGTCCCTAAAGTTCTTGCACTTCTGTGACATACACCAAAGGGGGCAGTCTACCTACATTTAATAATAATAATCCTCGAATTGCTTCATGCACTATTGAACATTTAAAAGGGAGGAGATGTAAGTTTGATATAAATTTATTTTTTCGTTTAAGGTCATTTCACTCGTTTTCAAATCCTTACATGCCCTCGCAACTCCCTACCTATCTGATCTGCTACCACGCGCTGCCTCTGCTCGGCTGGCTCCAGCCTCCTGTTTGTCCCTCATCCCCTCCGCTCTACCATCAGTGGCCGTGCCTTCAGCCACTACTCCCCGAAACTCTGAACTCTCTCCCTCAATCCTTCCGCCTCCCTCCCCACTTTCAAATCCCGCCCAAAGACCTTCCTTTTTGATTGTGCTTACGGTCACCTCCTCCCTCCCTTTCACTCAGGCTCGGTGTCGGACTCCGCCACTGGCAAGCGATCCAGGACTCTAGCCCACGTGAAGAGCGCTGTATAAATGCACATTGTAGTTAAGGAACGAAGACCTCTTTTTATCTTTTTTTCCTTCCCTGTGCCTTCTCATTTCTTTCCATGCTCAGTCCTGAATTGGCATTAGCGATGAGACTTGACAGCAAGTGATTCTGTAGGTGGTTGTGCAAGTCAGCATCCACTGCCAAATAATTGATTCTTCCCCAGAAAAGTGCCTTTGTCACATACTCGAAGGAAAAAAAAACCCTTACTGCCACTTTCTACTTCCCACTCTCACCCTCTGACATCTCTGAGTAAGCCTCCCAATTAACAGACAATTCTGTATTGTGAGCCTATATCTGATAAGGAAATAGGTTAGATTATGCTTATGTTTCTCCAGTTCTATTTGGCAATCCAAATAAAAATAATTGCTACATTTGTTTTATTCATATCTCTCAGAATTTGGGCTTATGCTCCCTCTCATTCCTCCATACTCCAGTGAAAGCAAGGTCATGTTCTACGAGGTTTTCTTCCTAACTTTGACTCTCAAACCATACTTGTTTCTGTTCTCTGAACACTTGTGTCTTTTTAAAGGTGTGATGCACAAAAGTAATTCAAATGGGGCTTCACCAATAATCTATGCCAGGGTAAAATAATTTGTTTTGTTGCTTGCTGTGTTGTTTCATGAATATAGGACAAAGCATGGCGGCTGGTGAAGAGCAATCTAAGGTTTGCGACCAACAAGAAGTGCAATTGAAGTTCTTGCTTACCGGCTTTTTGTCAGGACTCCCACTGCCTCCCTTTGTCATACGAATGTGCCCACCTCTCACCACCAAAAACATAAAACACTATCAGTCTCTGTTGTGTGTGGGTGAGTACTTGAAGATGTAGGGTGAGCACTCTGTTTTCTCAAGATTAACTGGAAAGACTGAGCAAATGCCGTAATATACAAGGGTTTCGTTTATGTTCATCCGTAATTATTTCTTCATCAGAAAAGGGGGGAAGAGGGAGATTGAGTTGAAGAAAGAGCTGTGTTTGTGCAAATAAGCTTCATAAACAGTGTTGTCTCCCACGCACAGGAATCTTGTGTCATCTGGGAGCCTTAACACATTGCAGTTGTAACTGCTGCTACTTAGTTGACACATGGTATAATAGAAATATCGTTCACTCCACTATACAGGTTTTCCTATTGTTATGTTGATAAAATGCCTTATTCACTGAAGTCCCAATTTGTTCATATTTCCATTATGCGAGTGTTCATTTTCATACCCCTTTTCCCTGGAGCTTTATTTAATCTTTACTTGGTTTGGAAAAAAAAGTTATCTTAAGTGCAGTTAGATTTTAATGAGCTCCCTTGGCCTTACTGTAAAAATGAAAGCCAATTCTGCTGTGAAGAGTAGTGATGTGTGGGCACATGGGGCTTAGGTATTGTTACTCGTATACCAATGTTAAATAACAGTGTGCAGATCATTATTTCACTGGAATTAATCACTGCTCCTATGTTGAGTTAGTTGACAAGCAAATACTTTTGCAAACAAAGCAAAAAAGATTTATGACCAAATTGATAATGGATAGTTTCTTTGATATGAATCTAACCATGAGTTTATTTAAAGTCTGATGGGTATATAAAATGTCCGTTTCAGGCACCAGCAATGGATCTATATTGGTTTACCATCTCACCAGCGGATTGTTGCACAAGGAGCTAAGCATTCATTCCTGCGAAGTGAAGTAAGAGTTATTGTAGTGTCGCTAGCATATTTACATGTCTATTAGTAAGCAAGGAATTCCCACTCTCACCAAATTCCTGTTGTGGGGGCCTCACTCTGTTCCCACCTCATTCCGTTCATTGCACCAGCACAGGCATCATCAAAAGAAGTACGGAAGGGAAGGAAGTAATTTAAAGTGTCATTAAGTTCAATATAAGTGAGCTGCTTGTTAGATTGGGCAATTTAAATTGGATTATTAAGAAGTTGATCCCATTGGACAAATGTTTTTGGAAGGTGAACTTGTTTTTGCTCCCCTTTCTCATTACTGTTGTCTTGGGTAAACGTATATACGGCCACATTCAATTTGTTATTACTGATAAAGTTGCACATCAAAATACCATCAGAAGCTTTACAGCATGAAATATCCTCCAGATTTCAAACAAACCGACATTTATTCACCCATATAATTACTCGGCAAGGACAGCTGAAGTTTCATTGTTTAATGTAACACCTGCTTTGACGCAGAGAAGCTGCCTCTAATCACTAATACTTCAGTGAAGCTTTCCAGGAATAAGAAAAATCTGAAATGATCGTTTTTAATAATATTCACATGGTACTCAATGAACTGTTATTGCTGCAAGCCGTCGCCAAGTTTGCAATCTCTTTTTAAAACAGCTGTGAAGTGTTAATGATCAAAAACCTACTGTCACTTTCAAAGGCCAGCGAGTCTATTTGCTTGCATTTAATTTATTGGTTTATCCTTCCTGTACTCTTTAGAGTACAGCTGGAGTCTGAGTCAAGGCACTTGACAGACGGGCAAAGCCTGAAATCTTCTGGAATGCACTCCCCCCAGTCCAAAATTATTCATCCTTTCAACAAATTCCGAGGAGAGGAAAGAGGAAAACATCTTCAAAAGAGAATCTTTTTCTCAGATTTCTTTTAAAAAAATCCTTTTTCAGATGAGCACAATTAACATTCTGATAAGAAGCGTGCATGAAATGGGTGCACATCAATTTAAGTATATTAGAGAACTTTTTAAGCTAAGTGTTCACTTATTATTTAAAAGATGCCCTTTGAGCTTCTCAAATCTAACACAATAACATCTGCAAGAATCCTTCACACACATTCGAATAGATTTCTATCTTTGTTAGTGTATCTGCTGTTATTATCATTACTGTATTTCTTATTGACATATAATTCAACACAATCATAAGATCAAGGAGCTATGCTGTTCTAGGCAACTGTTAGGTTAACTTGCATTTCTTAGCATGTATTTAGATGTATTTATTTTCCATAGAAGATTCTCCAATCTGTAATTCTTCTAAGTATTATTTTAATGTATGCGGAGAGTAAATGCAAACAACAAGATTTCCAAGTAAACAGTAATGCTAGATCTATCTACTTTCGATGTTGTCTTTTTGTTATTTGTATCCTTGACATATAATTTTTCCACTCTCCTATCCGCTGTCCTCTCCACCTTAGAATACATGGACTTGAATACTTGCCTGTAGGTGTGGGGTTACCTGCAGTTGCAGTTCTTGTGAACAAAACCTTTAGACATTTTATTTTGCTGCATTTGACCCCTTCCTATTGGGGAAATAAAATCCAATAAAAACGTACTCCTAGTTATAAAGGTATTTCCCTATAAGAATTGTCATTTTATTACGGCATTTCAGACCTACCCCTTTGTGCAAAGGCCACTCTGGTGATGTTTGTGATGGGAAGGAACTAGACTTTATTATCCTTCTAACCAATGTAGAGGATACGTTTCATTTAAACATTAGAAAAAGAGTTGAACAATTAACTTTTGGTACATTTTCCAGAATAGGGATGTTTCCTCTCCCTCTGGCCTTCAACCCTCACCGACCCCTCTTCTCCTCTCTCCCTCCTCCACAATATCCTCTCCTCCACACTCGATACTCTTGCCCCCATCACTTCCCGCACTGTCTCCTACTCCCGCTCCTCCCCCTGGTACACCACCCACCTCCGCTCACTGAAATGCCAGGTGCGGGCTGCTGAGCGCACCTTTGTCAAATCCGGCTTAACGGTCCACCGACAAATCTGGCTGGACCTCCTCAAAATTTACCGCTCCACTCTAGCCTCGGCCAAGTCGTCCTTCTACTCCAGGATAATCCTGGAGGCGAAGAACAACCCCAGGCTACTGTTTTCCACCACATCCCGACTCCTCCGTCCCCCCCGCCACCCCGCGCAGGTCATCTCCTCCAACCTTCACTGCGAGGAGATGCTGGATTTCCTTGAATCCAAGATCAAGGGAATCCGCTCCGCGGTCACTTCCCCTCCAACTTCCACCAACCACCCACCCCTTCCCTCCCACACTCCGACTCCTACCCATCCTCCCCTACACACCTTCGTACCCGTTTCCCCACCCTCTGTCACTGAACTCATCCTATCCCTAAAACCAACCACCTGCTCCCTTGACCCCATCCCCACTCCACTCCTTATCTCCCAGCTCCATTTTCTTGCCCCACACATCACTGACATCATAAACCTGTCCCTCTCCTCTGGCTCTGTCCCCATTCCATTAAAAACTGCCATCATCACGCCCACCCTGAAAAAACCCTCCCTTGATGCGTCGCAGCTATCAAGCTACCGGCCCATCTCCAACCTCCCCTTTCTCTCCAAGGTCTTGGAAAGAGTTGTCGCCTCCCAACTGCGCTCTTTCCTCTCCACCCATTCTCTTTTTGAACCCCTTCAGTCAGGTTTCCGTGCTGCTCATAGCACAGAAACTGCCCTGGTCAAGGTCACCAATGATATCCTGACTATCTGTGACCAGGGCTCCCTCTGTCTCCTCGTCCTCCTCGACCTATCGGCAGCATTCGATACGGTCGACCACGCTATCCTACTCCACCGCTTGTCCTCCCACCTCAACCTTCAAGGCACTGTCCTTGAATGGTTTAGCTCTTACCTTTCCCACCGTCTTCACTTCGTCTCAACGAATGGCTTCTCCTCCACCCCCCGTACTGTCTCATGTGGTGTCCCTCAGGGCTCTGTCCTCGGTCCCCTCCTCTTCACCCTCTATATGCTCCCCCTCGGTGACATCATCCGCAAACATGGGGTTAACTTCCACATGTATGCGGATGACACCCAACTCTACCTTTCCTCCTCTACTCTCAACTCCACGACCACCGATGTCCTGACAGCCTGCCTGTCCGACATCGAGTCCTGGACGAGAGACAACTTTCTTCAGCTCAACGTGCGAAAAACCGAGGCCCTCCTGATTGGCTCACGTCAGCGCCTCCGCACCTCAGGCGCTGACACCATCAGCATCCAAGGCTGCACTCTCCACCTCTCAAAGCCAGTCAGGAACCTCGGCGTTTTGTTCGACCCTGAGCTGTCCTTTCTCCCTCACATCCGCACCACAACTGGCACCGCCTTCCATCACCTCCGGAATATCGCCAGATTACGGCACTACCTCACCCCTCACGCTGCTGAAACCCTGGTTCACGCCTTTGTCACCTCAAGGCTGGACTATGGGAACTCTCTCCTCGCCGGCCTTCCCGGCACCTCCCTCCACAAGCTGCAGGTCATTCAGAACTCTGCAGCTCGTGTACTGTCCCGCACCAGGCTTCGGGACCACATCACTCCCACCCTCGCTCGCCTCCACTGGCTCCCCATCCCCCAGAGGATTGATTTCAAGATCCTCATCCTCACCTACAAGGCCATTCACGGCCTTGCTCCCTCCTACCTCTCCAACCTACTATCCCCCTACCTACCTGCCCGTACCCTCCGTTCCTCTGGCTCCGGTCTGCTCCACGTCCCCCGCCCCAACCGCCCTACTATCGGTGGTCGGGCCTTCAGCCTCTCAGCCCCGAGGCTCTGGAACTCCATCCCCCAGTGCCTTCGCCGCTTCCTCCCTTTCCTCCTTCAAGGCCGGTCTCAAAACCTTTCTCTTTGACCGTGCCTTCAGCTCCCCTCTCGACTCTCTTCCTCCTCCTCGCTCCCTCCCTTCCCTCCCCTCACCCTGACCATTTCCCCCTCCTCTCTCCCTCCCTTCCCTCCCCTCACCCTGACCATTTCCCCCTGCTCGGGTCATGACCCAACTGTGCAGCGCCTTGGGACGTCCTCCTGACGTGAAAGGCGCTCTATAAATGGAATCTTGTTGTTGTTGTTGTTGTTGTTGTTTTATAATCTTGTGAGTACTATTCAGTACTTTTCATTACAAGTCCTCGCAAGTGCTAATAATACCATTCTTGGTATTTTCCAAGATACACATTGTGCTGTGCAATCCTTCTTATAATTTGTTAAAGCTTAATCACTTATAATCTTTCTAATGCACAGATGTTTCTCTAGCCCTCTGAGTGCATTATATTGATCCATAAAAATCTAAAAGCTCTTGAAGATTATAGCAGTTATCAGAGATAGCATACGTAAATTATACATGTTCCTCTGTTGGGGAAGCTAAACTGGAGAATGAAACTCAAAATCAGTCTTGTCTTGGTTTTTACGTTTTAATTTATGACATTAAATCAAAAATTATTTTCTAATATGGATTGCGTCCATCAGATTTGTCCAGCACAGCATTTTCCTGCTTTCACTATAATTAACAGCTTGTTAAATGAGAGGTGGTAGACCCAAATTATTGCCCAAGTCTAGGAATAGTAATTTAGACAGTACATTTCTTTTAAAATAGGTCAGAGACTTTACATAGATATATGAGCTCAGTTTTATGGTAGGCCTGAGCACAATGAGGAAGTAATAATCCCTAGACAATCATAAAATGAACATATAACCCATTTTCTGGATGCAGAGGTGAATTCCTTGGAACTTTTATTCATATTTCTATATTAATGGTTTTGGTGGTTTGCTGTAGTTATGGTTTTTGGGATCTAAATTGTGCCGATCAGCGATGGGGTTGCTAATGACTGAATCACGATCAGTGGCTTTTTCCAGGAGTTGGAAATCCATTGCATGGAGCTGCTGGTATTCCACTCCAGAGGCAGATGGCATCAGAGTGAAAGACTTGTGGTTCACGTGAAATGTGACAAGTTATTGGAAGGAGTCACAATGCATGATTCAGAGTCATTTAGATCCCATTATGGGATAGCTAAAGGTTAAAGAATCAGAGAATATTACAGCATAGAAGGAGGCCGTTTGGCCCATCATACCTGTGCCGGCTCTTTGGAAAAGCTACCCAGTCACTCCCACTCCCTCTCTCTTCCTCCATATCCTCGCAAATTTTCCCTTTTGAAGTACCTGTCCAGTTCCCTTTTGAAAGCGTGCCAGGAAGAGCGGGGAGGTGACTGTCGGCATGCACAGTCGAAGAGGAAGGTCTTCAGGTGTGACCTGAAAATGGGCAAGAAGAGGGCAGGGTGGAGCGGTTGAGGCAGGGAGTTCCAGAGTTTCTGGACACCGTGGCCGACAGCACGGCTGTGCTTTCACTTAACATATGGATCATATAATCATAGTAAAGTCAACGTAGTGATTTGCTGACTAGGCCTGAACTCCGATGTCCCTATTCAATACACGTTACTATGATAAAAATATAATCCTTGCATTTGATATAGCGCCTTATCATGTCTTTGAGATATCTCACAGAATATACTGCAAGGGTGAATTGACTGTATATTTTGTCGGCAAAACCACTGTTTGTGTTAAATAACCGAATCTCTCCATTGTCCATGTACAGAGGCATTGAGTGGGTGAGCCTGACCAGTTTCCTCTCTTTTGCCACTTCAACCCCAAACAATCTGGGGTTAGTGCGGAACGAGCTACAGCTGGTTGATCTGCCAACAGGTCAGTAGAAATATGCTGGTTCCCAATGTTGCCAAGTTCCTTTTGTGCAAGTTGGCAAACAATTAGATATTGTCATCTCCTTGAATTATTGATTGGTTTAAGTAATTGTTGTTTGAGGGAGAAATTGAACCACAGAATTACACATTATTGAAGAATCTTGATACTACTGCTGGGACGCTGAAAAAGCAGTCATAGATTTGAGAAGTCTTTTTGAATGTGATCATTTTTCAGATAGAAATCTACATATATATACTACTGCTTTCACTGCATTATTGATTGTTTTAATAAAATGAAATCTCATTGATCATTTTAGTAAATAAAGTAAGATCTCAGGGAGTCAGTGTGCAGTGAGGCCCTGAAGTGGAACTAAAATGTACTGTATTTGAAGTGATGAGTCTAAACTTTTTAACTAATATCCATAAAATATTACTCTAATAGACATGTAGTATCCTCTGTTGCCTTGCAGAAAGAATGAGCATTGCGCAATGCATATGAAATGCTTGCTACATTTACAGAGCTACCATTGCTTTAATGGATTTCCAATGGTTTGGGTCGGAGATGAGCATTTTTAAACTGTGCTTTTCGTTTCCTTTCCCTTTTGACAGTTCCTTTGCTTCGAGTTTGTCAATTTCCACTTCAGTTGGTTGTTGATATCCTGTACATGTTGTGTTGAACTCATTACAGTTACAATCTAAAGCTGTTTCCGTCGACAAAATGGTGCAGTGGTGCAACTTAAATCGCATTGTTATTTTGAATGTTCTATTTTCTGCAAAAAAAATAAAGGTGCAACTGTATTTTCTATAGTTAGGTGTAGTTACATCAAACAATTATCTATATACAATTTGCTATTGTCCTATAACTCATTTAATTGTTGCAATTGAGAATTGTGCGCACAACATTTAGACAAGAGCTACCGGCCTTTATCAGAACAGCACATTGGCCCAATGGATTCAGTGTGCCGTGAAATCAGTTCACATATCGTGCCTCAGCAAGGCTTTCACTCGCTGCAGAATTGCTCTACCGTGGCGAGTCATGACTTTCAGCCTCTGCAATTGTAAAATGTAAGCAGCAGCTTAATTTTTTTAAAAAAGGATCATCTTGTTTTTGCGCACCTTGAGATGACAGACGTCAGCCTTGGGAAATTGGACGCTTGTTACTTACTATAAGTATCAAGGTTATCTGTCAGATATAACTCAAGCTGCAAATTAAAGTCCCTTCACTCTGTCCATAGTATATCATAAACCCTAACTTAAACAAAGGAACCTGTCCCCTCCCAAACACATATACACTGTAGATCCGCAGCCTTAGGAACTTGCTTGAGATCATCCTTATTCCTCGAACTCTCTGGGACACTACCCTGCGTGATGGGCGAGTTGTTCTCGTACAACTCAGATTAGACAATTCCAGTAGTTTATGCTGATTTGGAGCTGCAGCCCCCAGAAGATAAGACAATAGTCATCTTTCTGAAGTAGGTTTACTTTAAAATATTATCATAAGCTTTCGCAATATATTGAGAGATACACATTTTTTAATTTAGGGCCAGTAACAATATTTTACCATATGGAAACCACTGAATTCTGAGTAAGGACTTACTAAGCAGCAAAGATAAATAGAAAGTAAACCTCTGCTTTTATACTACTGTATGTAATAGAGCGGAGACATTAACATTCTGGAGTTGGGCTGTATAATAATCTCAATTTCTCAACCAATTAGATTAATTTAGGGATCACTGTGTATAGGTGTCTCTCTAAATTGATATAGATAAACTGGCTTTTTTGTGTGGTTTCTGTAGTTGAGCCCGGTTTTGAATTGTAGGGTTACTGATGTGGCAGTATATTATTTTTATTCCGCTGAGTTATTTATGAACTGAGCATTAAAATGAACAGTGGTTTGAATAACTTGTGAAATGATGCAAATTGTTGAATGAGCTGCTCCTGTGAGGAGTTAGAAGCACTCAGTGGTGTCCTGATGTGTGATTATCTTCACACTACAAAACCTAATGACTGGGAAGCAATTCAGCATTTTATTAAGAATTATTAATTTTTCTTGGTAACTGGGGGACATTTATGGAAAGTAATCAGTTAATACAAGACACACGTTTTGTTTAGTTGGAGCTGTTAAATCCTTGTAGCAAGAGAGATGCTCAAATAGTTAATACCTACTGGCCAAATGGTGAGACGAGATAACTATCTTGGATTTGCACTCAATTGTCACTGCAAACTTTACAATATATTCTGTGAAGCGCTTTGAGACGTCTCAATGACTAACAGCTGCTTTCTCCCTTTTTAGGTCTCCCTTCTTATCAAAGAGTGCAACAGATTATTGATAATAATAATAATAATCCTTGCATTTGATATAGTACTTTCCACGTCTTCTAGATGTCTCAAAGCCCTTCACAGAATATACTGTAAAGTGAATTGACTGTACATTTATGGGCGAAATGCGGCAGCCAATTACGCACAGTGTCCCACAAACAGTCGTGGATTGAAGTGACCAATTTATTATTTTTTTCTTGAGGGATTATTATTAGATGTGTGGAGTAAGGAAACTTGCCCAAGGTTTTGCCCTGCCGGGAATCAACCCAGGTCTCTCGCTTGTGAGGCGAGTGCTCTAACCACTGAGCTACAGGAGCCCACATGATGCCATTTTTCCTCCTTCTATAAACGCAGTATCTGAAACAACAATAGAATCATCTTTATTATTAATTGCGTTTTGGTGCAAAACATTTGACTTTTTTTCGACACGTGATGTATAATAAACATGGTCAGAATGATATTTTTTGTTTTGAAGATAGACAAAGAACTTGTCAAGGGCTGAATGATGCATTCACATACATTAGCTGTATTGTAATTATCTAAGTAATGGTAGCCCAAGGTATTATAGCTATTCATGGAGCCTGAGTTGATTCTGAACCTGTTGAAGTCCTACATCCTAAGATGTAGGAAACTTGGCGAGTCAATCATATTTGTTTTAAGTCTTTTCTATGCGGTTTGTTTTCCTGACTCTTTCTGAAACATTCGGTTCCCCAGGAAGAAGTATTGCGTTTAGAGGCGAACGAGGCAATGATGAACCGCCAATAGAAATGATTAAAGTGTCCCATCTGAAGTAAGTATGGAAATATTCCCAAATGCTTTAATTATCCACTTAACCTTCAACTTTCATGCTTTCTGTTTTTACAGCGTTCAATTGCTCACTTGCTGCACGCTTGACTGTTTTGTTATTATATTAGATGCATAGAGATGAGATGAATGACATTGTTTGACCTTAAACATGTTGGCTAAAGCACATCATTTCTGTTGTGTTTGTGTACTGAGCACTTATCCATCTATCCTCGACTCCACTACAAACAATTTAAGTATAATCTAGGCTACGTGGAGTCCTGTAGCGCAGTGGTTAGCACTCTCGCCTCGCAAACGAGAGGATTCAGGTTTGATTCCCGAATGGGGCGAAATGTTGGACAAGTTTCCTTACTCCACACGACTCTACCTAACAGTAAATAGGAACCTGGTTGTTAGTCGATTGGCGCATCGCGTTCTAGGGGTAATAATGTCTCAAAAAATATTTTGGTCACTCAATCCACAACTGTTTGTGTGACACTGCTGTGCGTAATTGGCTGCTGTGTTTAGCCCACAAAACACAGTCAATCCACTTCACAATATATTCTGTGAAGCACTTTGAGACGTCTCAACGATGTGACAAGACAAGGTACTATGTCAAATGCAAGGATTATTAGTGTTGCACAAAACAAAGGACTGACATATTCACTTTTTAAGACTGTTCACATCATTGTCGTCATTCATTTGTTCTGATAGACACTTCTGAGCAGAGCTCTAGATGTCACAGTAAAGTCTCTAGATATAGATAGAATTATATAGATACGATTGTAAATTTTACATTGACAATTGTTGCATAATTAGATTGCAATACATGTCAATAGATTATTAAATTCTATGTGCATACAACTTAAAAAAATTCTATGTGGCTTTACTTGTTTCTAATTAATTAAAATGCATATCCTTTCATGTCATATTCATTCTTGATTGACCATGACAATTTAGCCTTAAGGATGATGCATTTGTTTTATTTAGGCAGTATTTGGTTATCGTGTTCAAAGATAAACCTTTGGAGCTGTGGGATATTAGAACGTACACCTTGCTTCGAGAAATGTCAAAAACTTTCCCGCAGTGACAGCATTGGTAAGGACTTCATATTTCCATCTGCATTATAATAGGTGTCAGCCTGCCTCAGTTGGTTCTCAGCATTCCTGCCTCTGATTCAGAGGGTTCAAAGCCCACAATAGAGTTCATAGTCTAGGTTAAGCCTCTCGTGAAGTCCTGTCGGAACACTGCATTGTCAGAGGTCCTTCAGGTGAGACTTTAAAATGAAGTCCCGTCTACCTGTTTAAATGGGCACTGAAGGTCCTGCAGGACTATTCAAAAAGAGAAGGGAGTTTCTCCTAGTTCCTGGGCAACAGTCCTTCAGATAAACTTGGTCATTCACGTCATGGCTTTTTGTGGATCATTGCTGTGTGAGATTGTCATGCTCACCCACAAATACAGTCTCTTTACAGTACATCCTTTGAATCACAGTGACAAGTTTCAACAATGTGATGCAGTATCACAAAACTGTTAGAAACTGGATCGTAATGAAGTATATTTTAATATTCATGGTGATTTGGCCACTCAAGCAGCTGGTCACAATCTTTTATTCTTTCAATTTTAGATATTGTTTTCTACATGTTTAGTGCAAATGCATATTATCTTACATACAAGCATGTTTTTTCAGACGCTTTGCCTACAAAATGGTCACCAGAGGTGCACTTAACAGTAATTAACATTGAAGCAATGGATTTATTTTGATGTGACAAGAATTAAAAGAATATTTTACAGGGTCTTTTTTTCCCCTTTCTGTAGGAGTGGTCTCCATCTCACAACCTAAAGAGTCTACGTAAAAAGCAGCTGGCAGCCCGAGAAGCCATAGCCAGACAGACTGTTCCATCTGATATGGAAACCAGTAGTATTGAGTCTTCAATGATCAGGTGATAATGAAGTATGGGGTCGTTGGTTTATGGTTTATGCCCATTTTACCTTTGATCTTCCGTGGCAGGATCCAGTCCAATGTCTTGGATAGATACAATTCAGTTTTTCTTTAGTTTTCTGTTACTTTTATTCATCCACAAAATATACACACAGTCTCACCACTTTACATTATATACTGTGATGTACTTTGAGATGTCTCAACGATTTGGTCAGGCACAATATCAAATCATGGATGGTTATTATTATTCTCTCTATTGTTGCATTAGTTTCTATAAATGATCATGCCATTTCAAAGCTCAGTGTTTCAATTGCTCTTTTAGTACTGTAGGCTTCTGCAAAATAAATTTGTGCTTTTCAATTCATTTTGGAATAAGCATCTTCACAATATAGTAATATTGCATTGCATGCGGAATAATAATGTCAAATCGCTGTATTTAGGAATGTACTCAGTTGTATATGTATGAGAATAAATATTTGGTTTCAGGAAATATATTACTTTACAAGACATAACTAAGAAATATCTAACTTTGTTACATACTGAATGTCTGCTTAAATATTCAATTTGTCTTTAAATTTAGGAAATAAAATTCAACATGTAATGTTACATAGTAGAACACAGTTTCAATATAACATTGTTAAAAAGTTAATCTGTATGAATTCTGATTCAGTAAATCTTGAATTTAATTTTATTTCTCCAGTTTGCTGCAGGAAGCAGAAAGTAAATCTGAAATTAACCAGAATATTTCTGCACGGGAGCACTTTGTGTTCACTGATAATGATGGGCAGGTCTATCACCTCACTGTAGAAGGAAACATAGTCAAAGATGGGGCCAGAATTCCTCCAGATGTAAGTACAATCAATGTGAGGTATTCTGTTTGTTTTTCACATAACTGCAATGGTACACCCTAGCTTTCAATGGAAATAAAAATGAACAATTTAACCATCTGGTGAAATAAGAATAGATGCTAAATTTCTGTGATGTCACCCTCAATGGAAAAGTGACCTGACTAGTAAATATTCCACATTTGTTGCCAATTTGAATTTGCCGTTTTCAGTAGTTATAGTCAATGAATCGTATTGGATGAATTTTAATGTTTCTTTGTCGTAGTTGAAAATGGTTTGCAGCGTTGATACTGCAGATGATTTTCTTGCGTAAAACCGCAAGATGCCTTTTCTTTTAGAACTGTATGTTGGCTTTATTATATTCCGTGATGTTCGCTGAGGTGATTTAGTTAATGTCATGCGTATTTTAAAACTGATTTCAGTCATCTAAATATTTTCTGAAAATTATCTAAATTATATCAACCCACAATCTATTCAATAACTTTATCAATCTGAATGAGGTTTATAATGATTCCACTTTATAGTGAATGCTGTAGAAGAAATGTACAGATTTGTCATGTAGTTAAGTTATGAGATCGTGAACAACTGCCAAATAATATAAGTAAAGAACAATTTAACAGCTATCCACAAGCTAACATCACAATTTTCGAAATGTTAATGTGTCGTGTTCATATCAGCAAACCATAAATATTATGAACCCTGGAAAATTCTGTAAAAATATATAATTAAGTGTCAATTATCAATAAATTTTCCGTCCTTAATGTGTATGTTCTATTGGAATCAAAATATAATTCTCCCACTTTGTAGCTGGAGCACAATGTCCAGTCCAATATAAATTCTGTAGAATTCATTTTCTATTTAACAGAACCCTGTAAATTTTAATCTGTTGAACTCGTCTTCAAAATGATTTGCAGGGAAGTATGGGCAGTATTACTTGTATTGCTTGGAAGGGAGACACCCTGGTCCTGGGAGACAGTGATGGCAATCTGAACTTCTGGGATCTAAAAGCCAGACTTTCCAGGTAATTAGAACACTGGACAGCTTTGCAGTCTCACACCTATCAAAAAGCTATCCTTCAAGATCAGTAATGTAAGGCAACGTGATGGCACCAACTGACAGATCTGAGGTACAGTGGACAGGAGCCATGCAAATTCACTCAAGTGGCTTATCTTTTTGTTCCACTCTGCACAGCTTAGTTGTCTGTCTCAGTCACATCACGGTTCGGAACTGTGAAGCATAGGCCAGCGAAGGTTGAGGCAATGTAAAATATTGAACTTCATTCATAGGCCGCTCTTATGCACTAGACTTTTTACTGTGGTTTCAGAGTTGTCTAGACAGAGGCACATGCTGCCTATCCACCTGTTCCTGCAACGTGAGAAGAGGTCTTTTTTTCTCTCTCCACTTAAAACAATATTTAAATTATATTTGAATCATGCTTATATTAATATTAAAAGGACAGAAGATCTGCAACTTAATACTGATTTTTAGAAAATATCTCCAAATTAAAAATGGCTAACTATTCTGGGGCATTTTTGTTCAAATTGTAAAGTTGTACAGCTGTAAAGGCTGTTAATATTTTAATTCTATATACTGCTAAGCTACATGGAATTGAGTAATGACATAACGAGTCTTTGAACACTTTGAACTGATAATGCGCTAGATTTTGCTGCTGTCTTTAAAGTTACATTTTACTGCAACTCTGCTCCTACTGATTTACACAGCATTTGCAATTTAGAAATCTGATTATTTAGCATCAAGTAAATTGCCATGGGCAGAATCCATAAGTTATTTCAAGATAATTGCATAGGTGCTTGAAAAAGCAGAATTAATATAGGGAGCATGCAGAAGGCTGGAATTAAATTAAGCTGATGTGGAGAAAAACACCAGTATAATTTAATGGGCTAAATAACTTGTTTCAATGCTGTAGCATTTTTTGCTTCAATATTTGATCAAACACCTTGTTTACCGATTGACTTCATAACAATATTAGGCAGGAATAGAGCATTGGTCCATGTAGCCTACCTATTTTTTTGAAAAGAATACTGTATGTTAAAATCACTTTTTCACATCATTATACGATTAATTACTAAGGGAAGATATACTGGATCTGTTAGATTGTGCTAGAAATCATTTTTTGCATTTCATTTGAATTGGTGGGGAAAGGGTCACTGTCCACAAATTCATTAATGGCCTAACTTTGTGAATGAGATTGGGTGTTTTAGGGAGGTTAAAGTTACATTATAAGCAAGAGTAGAATTTTGAGTGTTTGATTAATGCAACCCCAACGCAAGAAATTGTACATCCTTGAAGTGCATCCTAACTCGTCTCATTCTCTAATACCATGGTGCCATGGGAGCTGCTCATTCCACTATAAGTTATGTTTGATTTTGCCAGTGGTGGGTTGTTGTGGGAGACAGCAACAGCAGGCTTCTGGGATTAAATTGCATGAATTGATCTGCTGTGCTGTTGTATCACGTGAATTGAGCTGTGACATTAGAATTTATTCACCTAATTTTACAGAGGAGACTTTTTTTAATATTCATAAAGGACTGCATATATATATTTTCTGAACACCATAATTTTTCACATACAATTTTGTATTGGAACATATGCCTGAAACTCAATTGATACAGTAGTTATATGTAAGTCCACATTATATGTCCTAACGTTTTATAGCAAGTGAAGGTGTAGGTGTGCATTTTGGTAGAAAATTGGAGTTGTATTACAATCACACAGGAAGGAAGGTGTATAATCTTCCAAAACATGGAGCAACACCGAGACTAAAATGTGATAATAGAAAAGTAATTGAAAAGTGTTTGTAGTTTAGATGCTACAATTGTTAAGGTTAATGGAATGTTTGAATGTGTAGTCAGATGCACAGAGTCCAAAGAAATACTGTTAAGCTTCTGTCACGAATTTTTGAAAGTGCACTTAGAATATGTATGTAGTCAAGTTATCAAAAGAAGTATTGTTGGAAAGCAATACAAAAGAGAGTTCAGAAGAGAATAGGGTGCAAGCAATTTGTTCCAATACAAACAAATTTTTGAAAGTGCACTTAGAATATGTATGTAGTCAAGTTATCGAAAGAAGTATTGTTGGAAAACAATACAAAAGAGAGTTCAGAAGAGAATCGGGTGCAAGCAATTTGTTTCAATACAAATACTAAACAAGAGACCACAAATTGGGGGAACAATATTGTGAGATTAATAAATAATGAGCTAAACCCGATATGATTTACATTTTGGAAATTTCAGCTAGTTTAAATCACTTGGAGTAAACTGCTGTAATAAGCTGTTGTAATATAAGCCTAATGAATGCGAAATCTGTTCAATCATTCAAAATAGATTCATAGGTAGGAACGTTATTGGAATTTTTATTGTAAAATCAGGAAGGATTGATTTTATTCTTTGTTAATAGAGGAATTCCTACTCATCGTGGTTGGGTGAAGAAGATCCGTTTTGCCCCTGGAAAGGGAAATCAGAAGCTGTTGGTGATGTTTAATGATGGAGCTGAAGTCTGGGATACGAAGGAGGTAGTCAGTGTGTCATTTAATTATCTTCTTATCATTTTCTACAAGAATTAATGCTGTTTAACCTTTTCGCCCACAAAACACACAGTCACTACACTTTACAGTATATTCTGTAAGGCACTTTGAGACGTCTCGAAGACGTGATAAGCCGCTGTATCAAATGCAAGGATTTTTTAAACTCTAATTTATTGTACTAATAAGTATTATGTATAATAGTGTTATTGAATTAAGAGAAATATTGTTTCTATTATTTTTTTAAAGCCTGCTTGGACCGTATGCATTTTAGTTTTCGAAACAGTTCCTGAAACAAATATTTAATGTATTGAACTTGGCTGAATCGCTCTCTCCCTGTCTATATATTTTATATATATATATTTTTTTTTAAAATTCAAAAATTACTTTGAATCTCTTAAGATATTTTATTTTTAGATTCAGATGGTGAGTAGCCTCAGGACTGGTCGGAATGTCAACTACAAGATTCTTGATGTGGATTGGTGCAGCTCTGACAAAGTGGTCCTGGCAGCCGATGATGGATGCATCCGGGTTTTAGAGATGGCCATGAAATCAGCAAGCTACAGAATAGATGAGCAAGAGTTAGCAGGTAGGAATTCCTAGCCAAGCTGACAGAAGAATATTGTGCTGTGGATCTGTCTTGATGACTGTCCAAACCGCTTAACACAAAGTTTTAATAAGGAGTTAATTGTATTACGCCTTAATCGAGGGAATTATATTTTAAAGATAATATTTAATTTGTTTCTGCTGATATGATTAAACTTTCACCACCCAGTGGATCAATACTTAATACTTGCAATTGATAAATTCCCTCATTACCTCGTAATGTTTCAAGCCAGGTTTAAATGAATTGCTTTGAAGCAACAGGAAGCTCAATGCGATTGCTAATCTGTATTCGCAAATTCACAAAAACAGCAAAGAAATAGACTAATGTAATCTTTTAATAAATTGCTGAATTTTGGATGAGAAATTAATATTAACCATAACATCAAGAGAGCCGTCTGTTCTTCGAATTAGCACTTTATTTAACCTAAATCACATACTGTTTGGTCTTATCTTGCAACTTCATCAACATTTCCTCACAATGTACATTTCTAACACCTAACATTGATTGCTCACCTCTGTACCCTCTCAAGAGAAATAATATTCTTTGAGAACAGATGACTAAAAATGCAAAGCAGTGCTCCAGATGAAGTCTGAATAATGCCTTGTGCAGCGTAAATATAAACCTTTATTTTATTTGTCCGTTGTTCCATTGCAAATGAGGCACAGCGTTTTTTTTACTGTTGCCAAACTCTGGACTGATAGTTTCATTGATTTATCCACAATGACTTTGGATTGCTTTCCTGATCAGCATGGAACACAAAATCTCTCTGTTGGGTTTCATTCCTGTACTCATTTTTTTTCCCTGCTATTGCACATCGTATCTGCACCTGTCACTCCAGGTTCTCAGACTCTCTGACTTTATCCTTGGTGATGTTCAGTCAGGTTCACTTGTTAGAATCAATGGGAAAAAAAAGTCTGTGCTGTATCTGCCACATTGTATGAGGTATAATGAGTTCCAGGTGTGTGTGCAGTCAAGAGAAAATCCATTTTTAACCCACTCAGCACATGGCTGCAAAAGTATAAATTAACTGTCTTTCACACTCCACAGAGTTGCTCATAGTATAATGATAGGTTATAGGTAGAATTACTGAAATAAATCTGATTTGCATTTCATATAGAAGAGTGCAGTCCCTTTTCTGAACTTTAGAAGCCATATTCTCTGTGTATTACAGAGAGTGTTTTTTACTTGGGTGTCAATGGAGATGGAAAAAGGTCTTGTTGGAAAAACGGAAGCTTAAATGCCACCAACAGGAGAAATTCCACATTAATTTAGATTTACTTTATCTATATAGCAATGCAAAGCGCCCAGAATCTATCAAATTGACCCCCCCCTCCCCCACACCCTTAGTGCTAACACTGGGTTTCAAAATTGAAAACGAATTCCACTCTACAGCACTCCTCACAATTCTCATCACAAAAATATTTTTACGTTTTTAAAAAAAAAGGATGTTATTCGTTTTTAATAAATTCATGTCAATTACCAATGTGAAGAGATAGAAGTACAGCAATGGAAGAATGAGACATCTTGAAGACATACTAAGACGCTATATCCAATGCAAGGATTATTATTCTAATGATGGGTAGGTAGATTAGCATTAATCCTTGTCACATTTCATTGTTCATTCTCCCTAAGTGCAACTGCACCCCCACCTACTGATAGAATTGCACCATTGCAACAGACGAGCTGATCTTTAATCTTGGTGACCTCCACTCAACTCAAATTACAGGCACTGATTTTGCCTTTAGAAAAAGGAACAGAGTTCTAAGTTTTTCATCCTTAAATTGTAACTCAATACTACTGTAATTCCTCAGTTGTAGCTTACATGAGAGGGTACAGAGGCGAGCAATCATCCACTTACGTGTTTAGAAACTCCTTCATTTTCTTTATTTGCTATGAATGACTTGTTTTATTCATTGTTCAGTTATAAAGTAAAATCTTCAAATATTTCTCTTTATCGTTCCGTTATCTTTATTTTTGTTCTGAAACATTTCTTTCACTTTTGTCTTCTTTTTGCTCAACATTTGCTAGGAATGTTTACAACCAGAAAGCGACCTTGTTCCCAAGTCTAAATTAGAAATCTTGCACTATATCTCTCGTAGCCCCCAATCAATAATTTCGCCTCCTAGCAATGTAATCCTGGTTAGTTCCACGTATTCGCCATTTTCTGTGTAAAGTAATAACGTAAAAATTCGTCATTCATCCTCTCTCTTCTGAGCTTGAGTCTGTGTCCCATGCAAACTTACCATCTTCTGTGTTGTTACAGTGACAATTATGCTTAGGGTATTACAATTGATGAACCCTGCTACATTCATAGAATGGCCAATCAAATTGTATTTTCCTTGTTCAGATCCACTGTGGTGTCCTTACCTTCTGCTTCCCAGATGCTGCCTTGCATTGAAAGCTTTCTTATTACATCAACCGTGGAATGAACAGTATTCACTGGATATTATGCAAATGTAAGGAAGAATAATTTCTAATATTCTCTTTTATATCAAAACCGGTCAGAAAGTATATGGAACATTTGGAGAGAAATCAAGATTTCATTCAGAGTACAATAACTCAGATTTTTACACTTCTTATTAATCTTAAGCATGTTGTAAAAATAAAATAGTAATCCTTGTGTTTGACTCACAACGTCTCAAGACACGTTACGGGATTTATTTTTGAGTGCAGTGACTGGAGGGTGCTATATAAGTGTAAGTTTTGTTGTAGATATCTAATTATATTATTTTATTTGTGAAGTGGCATGAACATATATATGCATACGTTTAATTTGACTTTTTTCTCTGTCTCCTACAGTGACTATTTAGAAAATGAAGAAGTAAAATATCTCATCCAAGAGCAACTGAACTCATTGACAAAGTGAGTCATAATTTATGTGAAAACATTAATGTTTTATAGCTGTGCCTGGGAGTTTTAAAACAAATCTTTTGAACATGATATGTTACTGCAGTCCTGTTGTTAAAATAATCCCCTTGTTACTGTCTCACAATGCACCACAAGGTTTAACTGTAAAGTGTAGTGACTGTATATTTGTATGTAATTGTGGCAGCCAATTTGCACGCAGGAATGTCCGAAAAACAGCCATGAAGTAAACGATCAATTTTAGCCGGGGATTGTTTGTCAAGGCACCGGGAGAAATTCCCTTCTCTTTTCGAATGGTGCCATGGGATAGTTAACGTCCACTTAGGCAGGTGGGGCCTCGGTTTAACGTCTCATCAGAAAGACACCATCTCTGACAATGTAGAGCGTCAAACTAGATTGTGAGCTCAAAGTCCCGATGTAGAACTTGAACCCCAAACCTTCTAACTTAGAGGCTGCTAATTGAGACAGGCTGACAGCTTGGTGTAACCTGCATTCTAATTCTACTTTTCTTCTCTAGTGACATGAAGAGTCTTTTCCTGGATCCAGAATTCCACCTGTTGCAGAGATGCTTGCTAGTCGCAAGGTAATTTGAACAACGATAGATTAACATTACCCAGAAGTGATAAGAAAAAGGATGTGCAATTTCCTGTGACTTTTCTTGGAAGATAATAAAAGTATATTATTTCCATTAACATAATAGTTAGCTCTTTGTAAAGTCTCCTTCATTACAGTTGATACACTCCTGATGACTTTTATCTTGAATTTATTTTTTTTCTCTTTACTTCCCTCGTCCTCTCCCCAACCCCGGAAAAAAAAAAGGCTGTTTGGTGATGAGTCAGAACTGCACTTTTGGACTGTTGCTGCTCATTATTTACATAGCTTCTCGCATGGAAAACAGCAACTTGAACCCAGTACGATTCCTGTTCACGAGAGCCAAGAAAACCCACTGGATATTTGCTGTGACATACTCTGCGAAAATTCCTACTTCCAGGTAACTCAAATTGTGCCTGACCGGATGTCAGTTTGGGTGAGAGAAGTAAATAACACAAAACTGCTTTTGCTGGCAAGCGTTCCACATATCACCAGAATGACGTGCTTGGGCTGAGCACATCTGGTTGTGTTCCCCAAATATTCCACGCGTTTTTGAATAAATTTAAATTGTTTAGAAAAACAAGAGAATTAAAGATTTGGCATTGTTGCATTCATTTTTCAAGTGAATGGCAAAGCAGATTCTTTATAACATGGATATTTGGGATGCAATACCGTAAAACGGAGTTGAGCATCCTGTTCGAAAATATATTTCGAGTCTCCATTTTCATTCAATTATAATATGAAGCCCCTGTTTTAAAAATGTTTTGCCTCCAATAAGATTTTTACAGGGGATGGAGGAATTGGATGTTTTAGTAATATAGTTTCATTTTTGCTCAGCTTTGATCTCACTGCAGGTTTGAGTTTAAAAAAAATTAATCTGTCACCTTTGCCTTTTATCTGTAGAGATCCCAGATCGAACGGGTTAATCTACAAGAAGCAAAGAGAACAACTTATGATCACACAAGGAAATGTGCAGACCAATTACTCTTGCTAGGCCAGGTAGGAAATCCATCTCTATCTCAACCCCGAAAAATCCAAAAGCATAATGCGCTTGTATTTATTGCCTGGGGATTATGAGTACTTCATTTTTAAGTTTAAACAAGGCTACTTTATCGAATTTTTTTTTAAAGTGACAGTGTGGCTGTTGTCAACTGCACAACTGTGAGTTTAAACAAGCATAATGCTATTGAACTAAATGAGCTTAAAAGCATATTTAAAGTACATGGATTTTTGAGATGCATTGTGATTTGAATAATTAATTCAGGCTTTCTAATTGGTTATGCAGTGGATTCTACGATCAGCTGCCTGCTACAAGAAATAGCTCAGCTAGATCAGCAAATAAAGTGTTAAAGGTCTTTGGAAAAAAGAGAAATTGTGCTGTCTGATCTCATTGTGTGTGTTTGACAGACAGACAGAGCAGTACAGCTACTGCTGGAGACCAGCGCAGAGAATCCAAGCTATTACTGTGACTCCCTGAAGGCTTGTCTGGTTACAACCATTACTTCTTCGGGTCCTTCCCAGAGCACTATAAAACTAGTCGCTACCAACATGATAGCTAATGGGAAGCTAGCAGGTAAATTTCTCTCTATGTATTCATATGTAGTGTCTTCAAACTTGTGCCCTTGTGTCGTAGTTCATTTGTGTCTTTGGGGGCTTCGAGTCGACAGGGAAATGTAGGCGTCACAATTGGAAACGCCATCTATATGTCACTTCATTGGTTGCTACTTTTGTACACTGAATACGTGCATTCTAGAACTGAATGTGCATAGGGCATTGGGATGACATCCTCCTACAGCAAACACAGTACATCTTGTGTGGTGACGTGACCACCTTCAATTGCTTGCCACTGCCTGCAACAGCTGAGCCCACCTCAGCACACAGTGATATCAGCAGGTTCACCATATCTCAATTACTGGCGGAAGAAAAAGAAATTCATTACAGCATTGGAACCCAATGAGAAACTATTAGAAGCAAGATTCGCAAAAGTATCTTTGATTCTAGACGTTCGACTGGGAAATCTGAACTTGCTTGCCAATCGAGACTGACATTCTCACTGGCCTGGAGAATCAGCGAGCTACTCAACCAGGTTCTTTAGAGATGAAAGTGAATACTGCTCCAGAGAATGTCACTTCCTGGTCAATGCAACTCCTGAGAGCTGATAAGGATTCAAACTCGCAGGTCAAAACATGCTGAAAATATTGAGTTTCTACATTGCTGAAATCACAAAGAGCTTGGAAATACTACAGTAAAACCACTTGGTGCTAAATCTAAATATCTATCCAGGGGTTGAAACCGTTTGCAATATTCTTCATAAGTAGACAATTAGGCTATCTACCCAACATAATGCTTACAAAATGTGGGTCAACCGTTAGAACTACAGTGATTTGAGGTGTGGAAAACAACCACAACGGAAAGAGCCAGGCCTGCACGCTTACAGGCGATTTCTGTACAAACTGTGACCCAGATTCAGTTGCGTGATTTTTCTAAGATTAGATACAAAGAAAGGAAGCATCAGGAAGAAAACTTAAATGCCTGAGTTGAAATATTTACTGTGTCCCTATGTTATCTGTCAGGTTAAAGATTTATAATTCACTGAGTTATAAATAAACATAACATAAGACATACTTCTGTGCCTTTGCCATTCTCAACACTAAAGTAATGAGAAATATGGGAAACTAAGTAGAGTAGTCTAGCGGTTTATCCCTTCACTTCTGGGACTCATATCAGTCAGACTGATGGGATGAAAGTCTCCTTTGTCAGTTCGGTTCAGTTATATGTGAAAGTGAACTTGAGTCTCAGCTCAGTTGCTAGTTTGTGTGTGTTCATAGCACCCAGATGGCTGGTTTGGGAAGTAGAAAATGCTATTGCAAAGGTGGGGTGATCTCGTGAAGTTAAGCCTGAGTTACATAATTTTAACAATGATCGATGGAACTTTGCTCTGCATCAAAACAATTCTGAAAAACGCTCGGTGCTGTCACTGTGTGCCCAAAGTATTCCAGTTGCTAGCATCCTCACCATGACGAGCAGAAAAATAAATTCTGTTTATCTATTAGCACTAAATATGCACGGCCTGGGATTGAATTACCTTCAGGAGTGGAGCGATAATTGTGCACTCGTGCCAAGATGGGAATATTGGAATAATCCAGATCTCATGAAATCCTCAAAAATACATTCAGCAAACCATCAGCTACAGCTCTATCCACTACACTGTTACTCAATCACCCCAAAATTACACTACGGTACTATTGTCTGATTGTATTGACTCCGCTTTGTTTTACTCTCATAGAAGGCGTCCAGCTGCTTTGCCTAATTGATAAAGCCGCTGATGCTTGTCGGTACTTGCAAACCTATGGGGAGTGGAATCGAGCTGCGTGGCTTGCAAAGGCAAGTGTCCCATAATTCATTTTAGATTGAAGGACAAGACATAGCAAATAGCATTTCCAGAGAATATCTAATAATAGACATTTTAATTTTTGATTAGATGTCATTACAGATTCTTTAATCAATGCTGGACCGATGATTTCCCATGTTGGTTATTTAAAGGTTACATTTAAAGCTCGAACAAAAATAGACCCTATAATATGTTTTGTTAATTCAGTAAGCCAGGTGCCTTGATATAGATCTTTTTTTTTATGTGGCTCTTAAGAAAACCATGTGGTGCTTGCTTTCAATTACATTTGTTATCAAATCCTAGATATTAAGTACCAGACTGAAAGGCTTCTTTGTTGGTCCCAATTTTAGTTGGATTTTAATTACTTTATTTCTATGCAGCTGACTTTTTTTGCATATTAAAATACATCCCAAGAAAACGAAAACAATGAAAGCTTACGAACTTGGCGAGACAGGAAAATGCGTTCTTATTACGCATTTAATCTAGTTTTTAATCTAGTCCAGGGTAGAAGCAAAGCTGTTAAGAGCAAGAGTTTATTTCAACCAGAAATTCAAATTAGCTTCACTTCTGAAACACCATGACACTGTCTTATGAGATGTTTTTTTTAATCAACTGCCGTCTGAAGTACCAAATCACACAATTAATGGAAGAATAACCTACATTTAACCGTTTCTTGCTTGCTTCTTCACTCCTATGACTTTAAAGCCATTTCAAAGATAATAATATAATAATCCTTGCATTTGATATAGCGCCTTATCACGTCTTCGAGACGTCTCAAAATATAGAATATACTGTAAAGTGAATTGACTAAAGATTAAATTGATCATAGTATAACGAGAGGAGTAGGATTATTTTTGTTATCTAGTTACGTTGCTGCTCCACAATTCTCTCTTATCCTTAGTTGGAAGAGTGGGATTATCTAGATGGTGATTTCTCCAGATGTGGTCAATGATGTACTTCAGTACACCCATCAGGGAGATTATTTGAATGTTGTATAAAGACAACCCTTATATCTGTCAGATTCTTTGGGAGTAATAGATGTAACTGAATGCAAATGTCCACGAAGACTGGAATTCATATTCAAGTCTTATGCTTGAAAGTTTAAGATTCTGTTGCTATAGAGTATTATCTATCCACAGTTAACATTGTTAATTCCCTAGAAATCTAATTTACTGCTGTGAAAATTGTCATGAAATCCATTCGTTGGAGAAAATTATTTCTTTCAAGTCCTGCAGCCGCCCATATTTGAACTGGACTTGCTTCATTCTGACGTCTTCCTTTCTTCCCTAAAGGTGCGTCTCAACTCAGAGGAATGTGCAGAAGTAATAAAGCGGTGGGTAGACTATCTCTGTTCACCACAGGTGAACCAGAAATCCAAGGCCATTCTGGTCTTTCTTTCGTTAGGCTGTTTTAGGAAAGTTGCAGAAATGCTGCACAGGTAAGAAGTGTGGTTTCTACCTAAATATATTTTTAAATAGATGTATTTATGTGGAGAATGTATTTGTACCTATACCGCAATTCAAGAGTTTTCATGCAAAGCTGTTATGGTTTGAATTGAATTTGAAAATATAGTGATGTGATATTCCAGGGTCCTTTCTCTTTGTTTTTTCAAAAAATCTGATTTTTAAAAACGTAAGTTAAAACTTAAATAATGCTGTGTGATTTCTTGTGTTTTATTTCAGCATGCGGTATTTTGACAGAGCTGCACTTTTCCTGGAGGCCTGTCTCAAATACGGGGTCTTTGAAATCGATGAAAGCACAAATATCCTTTTATTAGAAAAATTCCAAAGAGAAAGACACTTCTGTGGCTTCGAGGTCTCCACTTAGTCTTTCTTTTGGCCACTTATAAGTGCTCATTACATAATATTTCCAAAAATGTAAATTGATGCAAACGTATCCGGGTTATATGTTCTAAGTAAAATTAGCTTCGTGCTGGTGGAAGGGTTAATCCCATTCGTAAAAGAATATTTCTCACATGCTGTAATGCCGTTCTTATGTCCGAACATCAACTATTTCTGTGGCCTCTTTGAGTGAAATTATCCATTTAATGCCATTTTGTAGACAGGCTTGTATGATTATGACCTCACAGCTATTAGGAACAGAGTTGATCTGCCCAACTCATCAGAGAGTAAAGGCTTTCATCGTATCCACATTACATGTATGTTTACCCTGGTGGCTTCTGTTCTTCAACCTTGGCATAAAGATTGGGAAAAGTTTTTTTGGGGGAAAAGTAGAGTTCAGTGGCATGAACATACAAGCTCCAAAACAAATTCCGTGGCTAGGACTTTAATATCTATCCAGCGTGTGGCTCAGAGAAGAATCGTTTTATGCTTTGGGAAATCATTTGTGACTGCTGGCTCAGGAAACTGCAGCATCAATCAAATATTTTACTTTAAGTCTACTGAAGCCGTTCTAAGGATAAACGTAGAGGAACAATTAGACAAATGTTAAAACCATAGAAAATCTTATTCTGTTAGCACGATAATAAAATAAATAAATATCAATAAAATACTATTAAAAGATATTATCTTATTAGCTTGGGTACAAGCACTTCACTGTCAAGCACCTCGGGACTTCATCCCCACCTGAAGGACATTGTGGAGTCCTGTAGCTCAGTAGTTAGAGCACTCGCCTCGCAAGCAAGAGACCTGGGTTCGGTTCCCGGGCAGGGTGAAACGTTGGGCACGTTTCCTCACTCCACATGCCTCTGTTTACCGGGAACGCTTTGAGACGTCTCAAAGACGTGATAGAGCGCTATATTATGTATTATGGAAGGCACTGTTTCAATACAATTTGTTGTTATGTTTCTTCAATTCTTTTACAAAATATTTGAGCTAAGCTGTTAAATATACCCCCAAGATAATTGTGTGTTGTCAAGTGTGATGTTTTTCGTGCCTTTTAATTTACTGTGCCACATTACTACAACATACGAAAATTATCACAGTGTGAAATATAATACTTTCGATGTCGCATCGGTCCTTGGCGTCCACATGAAAATCCTCTGCATGTGAAAAAATAATGACTGATTTCAATCTGGAGAGTCCAGATATTATAAAAGTGTTCTGATACAGTATATTTCAAAGTGAGCTTGGCACTGCGTTTATATTTTATTCAGGGGGAAAAAAAATTGAAATTTTAAACTGTAATTGTATAACATGCAAAAAGCTTTGCAGTAGCAACAGTATGATTGAAAACTTGGCCAAGTTCCAGGCACTGAACCACAGGAATTAATCATTTGCAGAATGTATTATTAAGTTAAACACCTACTTATTGATCATTTTGGGTGAATTGAATACAGTACTCTTGTTTATTACAGCTGCTTAAAATGCAACTCCACAAAGCAGAATTTGACCAGATCTTGTGCAGTATATTTATTGATTTAGTTTGAGTGAACCGAGTACATTTTTTATGATCACAAGTTTGCTGGATCTATTTATTCTGTGTGTGTGTGTGTTTTTGTAATATATATGCTTATCTATCTGAATAGCAATACCAAAACAAAAACAATACCACAAGACTAAATTTATATTTTGATTATATCGCTGCTTATTTGGAGCTTATAGGTAGTTGTATTAATAGAAAATACATTGACCGTAATTATGGTAAGTTCCGTAAGAGAAAAAATTGCGTGCTAAATTATTTAAATCGAACAATGGTGATATGAACAATTTTATTCTCCTTAATGTGACTTCACGGAAATTTTGCAATTCAGTGTATGCAGATTATGGAAGGTACTTGAAGATGCTGAACCTAAGGGAAGGAGCGATTCTCTTTTCCACAAAGGGAAACGATGCCGGCTCTGAGTTGCTTAAGGAACTACAGCAGGGTAAAGAAGATAAATCCGCTTCTGTTTCATGACGTGCAAATGTTCACCTTTGAAATTATAACAAGCCCTCTGCATTTTCCAAGATTTTAGTTGCAACAGTCTGTGATCAACATTTATGACCAACTTGTAGAATTTTGAATATTATACGGAGGGTTACTGTTGTGTGATCTAAATAAAATACATTGCAGTGAAAATAGTAAACAAATTAGATGTACCCTTAACGCTTCACTCTTAACATTTTCTCACTAAAAAGACCTTTGATAATAGCAAGAATTTATTCTGTTTTTCATGATCTTCACATTCCCCCTCCTATAATACTTTTTATGATTCCCATGAAGCTTTCTACAGTTTTAACTGCAGGGTTTACTTTGTGTTTGGCAACAGATAAAAAGCAAGCCTCTGATTGTCTGATCAAGCAAGAGAATGCGATGTGAATCTGTAGTTATTTTCTGACTGCAAATTGTTTTCTGAGTATAATTACACTTTAAGGCATTTATTTACTGTCTGCTTGAATACTGAAAAATGTATTCAAATGTGAAATGTTCTATTGATAAATAAATCTAAATAGCGTTTGTATATATTGTAATTGAATGTTTAGTTTACCATGATTTGCTAATTCCAAAAGTTATTAAACATTTAAAACATTGATCCAGTAGCATGTGCACTTCTTGATTTCCTCAGGTTGAATTGACACATTACATTGGATAATGTGGAATTGCTCAGAAAATGAGAAATCTACCTTACAAGGTCTTTCATTTTATAGATATCTCGATTGTAAGAACCCAATTGCACTGAATGACCAATTCTTGTCTGTTTTCATCTGTACATTCAACCGTCAGGAATCTGTTGCCTTAGTAAACTCTGCCCGTCAATATTAAATTAGTGCTTTTTATATAAAAAGAGTGGTTTGAAAGCTATCCTTTTCCCAAAGCACAGTAGAACCCAGACCTAGTTCTGGAAACTTCCAAGAGTTGGTTCATTTCTTTAAAACTGTCGCCCAAACCAGAAGTGATACCATAAGTAAGACAGTTTTTTTGCATGTCAAGATCGCCCAAACGAGTTTTGCTTTCATCATAAATCGTTGCAAGATTTATTAGAGCTCACTGGGGAAAGAGTTCGTCATCATCACCGATAGGTAAAAGGATTGGAGATTTTTAGAGTTCAGAATAGATGAATTGCAGAAATCCTGTGGGAAATTGAGTGGATAGACTAGATCTAGATGGACTGATGGTCTACTGTCAGAAATTGTTTCACGAATTCTTATCTAACGAATGGTTATAGCATTTGAGGCCATTAAAGTTCAAGCATTTCAAATCTAATGTTCAAAATGCCTGGTGAACTTATGATTTTTAAGGCAGTTTGCTTTTGTGGCACAAATATATTATCTGCTGTTTCATAATCATTTGGAACATTGTTAGTGGTTGGTATTTGTTCACTTCACCTTGTTCCTTATTGTTTTGTTCTCTAATCTCAATCGCCCTGGGGAGTCAATGAGCAGATGTGTCACGCTGGCTTCTACTTGATTGAAGGTTCAATTCTAATTTCCACCAAGTCTGGCAAGAACAACTGAGTTGTCGAGCTTGGATTTGATTGACGCCAAGATGCTCTCGTGACACCAGACTTTCTGTCTCAGCTCCCAAGTAATAATTATTCTGTATCTGTTAATATGATGGAATGTACTCCAGGGAGAACAAAACGTCAGGTCAGTTCATGTTCAGCTCACTGTAAGACGACTGCATTGATCCTGCTGTACTCAGCTTAAAATTAAGTTTGCTGAAAGATTAAATCGTACTGCTAAGTACTTGTCCAATTGGGTAAGCATGCAGTGCTCTCTGAGAAATATATTGGAGCAGTGAAGCATATTTGCACAGAACATTGCCCCAATATTTTATTATTAACCTGCTTTATATGTCTGCGAAGCCCTTTATTTGCTCGCCGCTCCTTTATAAGGATCAATTGTTTTCTCCCTGTCTGTACCTGGCATTCAAACTTCTATCCTGTGTCGTTAAGTTTAAAACAAAACACCTTAAAGAGAACTAGAAGGAGTCCTTTTCATTCAAAGAGCTTGCAGCAGAAATCAAGGAAAATAAAATACATTACATATCACATTGATATTTCTCAAACGTTGTCTTGCCTTCCCCTGGATTAGTGTTGCTCTAGTTGCACATCACAGGGAAGAGAAGCTGCTTTGAGGTCAGCCGTGTTGGGTCCTTCAAAATAGCCTGCCAACTGGAATCTAGAACACTAATACAGCTGGGTATGTGTACTCTCTGCAGTTGAACTTTTCCCAGGTCCCAATAACATGAGGAAAATAAATGAATTTCGTCAAGCACCAGGAGGCACAAATGATCTTTGCTCTGTAATAACCACATGGTTTTAAACCAAAATTGGGCCATCAAATCTTGTATTAAGAAGAGCCTGGAGAAGCAATGTAACCACTCTTAACTTCATTAGATGTTCTGAATGCAAAAGCCAGCTCATGATTGAGTCTGCAGCTTTATTGCATTCCTGGTGTGATGCTGTTGTAATAGTCCTTCATTGTACTTGGAAACCAATCTAACTGGATTCCCGTGCAATAGAATGAAGAAGCTGTTTCCAATTTTTTTGTAACATTCATTGAACTGTTCCATGACAATGTCCCAAATATTGGAAGGTTTGCACCAGCAATATCTTCCCTATTGTTCTAGATTCCTTTTCATTTCCACAAGGGCGATGCTCCAAAATAAATATCCGGGCTAGGGGTTCTAATGAAATTCTTGTGTGTAGTTCATTTTCCACACAAGTGATTCAAGTTGGAATAATTTGTTCATAAGGGAACACAAATGCAATGGATTTATCCAAAGGTTCATGGTTGCTTTACCAGAAGGTGGCGCTCTGAAGTACTTGATAAACCTTTGCGAGTACAGCACTGGATGTGACCGCAAACCCGACTTAACAACAAATTGGGATTTGTTTAAATTACCAGTGTTAATTCTTGTTGTTAACGTAAATCATGCATGATACGTGGTATCTATTAATCTCACGAGGAGACAAATTAATTGTTCCATGTTTTAGAAATCTTAATTATCTTGTCTCAAAATCTTAATTATTTTGTCTCAATGTTTACTTGCTGCCATTGTGATGAATTGAGTAAGTTGCTGTAATGTTGTTCAATAAGGACACTGGTTGGAAATGGGAGTAAGGCACGAAAGACTGATAGCGACTGTTGTGTAAAATGGTTGATTGATTTTTGTTTTACCTAAAACTGTTAGATGACTTCTTCACCATCGTTTAATTTTTCTATAGGTCCTTGCAGGCAAGCAGTATCATGTATACTTAAAATTAACGCAAAAAAGTATACAAAAGCTAATACAAGCTTTGTGCCTATTTCTCTAGCCATCGGCAAAGATGTAGTTGGAATAATCTGTTTAAGATTCGCTTGCTAAATCTGCAATTTCAAAGCCTATCAAGGTAAAAGATCTTTCTCTGTGAGCAGATGAGTTCTGGGGGGGGGTTCAAGGAGAAATTAAATGCGACAATGACGCGAAAATGTAAAAGTTTAATGAAATGCAAATTTAAAAATACTTGCGTTTTATGCATTGTAGCATCCTCTTGTCACAAAGCACCTCCAGATGATAAGTGACTTTATTTGTATGATCGCTTTCATTCCTAAAGAGTGGGCTCTCAAAAGTCCACCTGAGCAGGCAGATGCGACCTCCGTTTAATATCTCATCCAAAGGACAGCACCTCTGACCATAGAGGTGTTCCGGGACTTTGAATGGCGCTATATGAAAGCAAATTGTTGTTGTAGGCAGGTCGCTAGGCTAGAGGTGATCAGGCGAGAGGGTGCTCAGACCCCACGGCCCACGTGTGAGCCTACCTCACGTCTAACTCAGCATCTTCAGAAGTCCAGAGCAAAAGTCATTACTTCTCTTCTTCAGTTACCGATAAAAGCAAACCCTTAACATCTGCCTGCTATTTAGTGGCTCTCAAGCTGCAAACTTAATTGATTGTATTTTCACAAAATTTGTTTTTACATCGTCAGATGCACAAGTTAGTGGAATAATTTGCAGGCGGTGAACGCACTGACTCAGCAGTTAATTGTCCTGTGTTCCTTCGCTCTGCACCGACTGCATCGAAAGCAGCTGAAAAAACATTCACAGCTTTTATTAATTGAATCCGTCTGGAGTGCGTCACTTAACCACACGCAAAACACAAGTTAATCCACTAAATAGTCTCTATTTAGTGTTGCCATTTTGGAAATGCTGAAGAATTTTAGTTACAAACAATTGTGATGACGAGACAATTGTCCTCCCAAAGCAGCATCTGGTATGTAGCAAAGCCGCCATTATCTCTAACTATATGTAGTTCTGTTTGTCTCCATTTAAACGCTTATCAAAATAATTCAGTTAGAATCATAGAATGTTACGGCACAGAAGGAGGCCATTCGGGCCATCGAGATAATGATAAAGTTAAGATCCATCCTTTGTTTTTTTTTGTTATTTTAAAGAAAAACAACAGTGCCTGCCACTGGAACGATGACAACAAAAACAACTTGCATTTAATATAGCGCCCTTCACGAAGGGTAACGTCTCGGAGTGCTTAACAGTGAAGGAGCCTGATGCTGAGCCAGGGGGGCAAGGGGGGATGTGAGCGTAACATGAAGGTTATAATAATCCTTGCATTTGATATAGCGTCATCAATTTGAGGCTCTGCTTCACACGGTTTTCTGTGCCTGTAGGTGAATGCAGCGGCCAATTTGCACACAGCGACTTCCCGCAAATGACCATGAATTGAACGACTATCTATTTATCTGGGGGCTTGTTGGCCCGGACACCAAGAGAACCTCCTTTCTCTCTTCCAAATCGCACAATTGTATCTTTAACATTCACCCTAACAGGCAAATGGATTTTGGTTTCATGTTTCATCCGAAGGACAGCGAATCTGACAATGCAGCATTCCTCCAGCACTGGATTAGGGACTTAACCCACAACATCTGACCCCGAGGTAAGAGTGCTATCGGTTGAGCCAGATTGATGCCCTATCAGAATATGCAGCGAAAGTCCTTGAGTTTCAGCATGAGTTCTTGACGTCTCTAGTCTCTTTCTGATAAGGAACTGGATACTGTGAGGGGAAGGAACATCATGACAATTGTCAACTTAATTTAACTGCAAAGTTTTCTTGTTGTTTTCTCTCTGTTTGTTCTCTGTATCCTTCTCATTCTTCTGCTGGTCACTCTACAATACCTCACCCTAGTCGCTATGATCCATGTGTGAGTCTTGCCAATTTGATATTATACCAAGCTTTTCTGCATTTCGCGTATTCTTGTGGAGATGTTTTACTGTATAACAGCTGCGTTGACAAGCTTTTAAATGAGTGCGGACAGTCATCTGCTGGAGCAGAGCAAAGTTGCATAAATCTCAATTAATCAATGGATGTGTGGAGAGTTGTAGTTGTGTGCGGGGTGGAAGGAGATGGAGATACCATTCAGTATCTCTTCGTAAGCTGCATTTCTTCCGTGCCAATTTTTACTCTCCTCTCAGGAGGTGCTGACTATTAATTCCACTCGCTCTAATACCTCCCCCAAATGGCCCTTCTTGATGTGAGAACCACCTGGACAGATGGTAAGTGTTGAAATGCTAGTTGCTCTATCAGTACTTGCATTTTGT